TATGTATCCAGGACACAGTGCTTCCTCCAAAGAAAGGATGCGGGCAGGCAAGAGCCATGTGTCCACTCTTTGCTAAATAATTTTTACTTTTGCACATTAGAAAAAGTGTAATGCACACTGCCAAAATGCCCAAATGGACAAGAAAAAGACAGACACCCAATACTGTACCCACAGGTTATGACTATTGGTTTGCGTCATCCTTGCTAATATTTGATATTATCAATATTGAAATTTTTGTCAGTCTAATGAGCAAAAGTGATAGCATCTCATTGTTTTACTTTTTATCGGCCTGATGTGTTTCGGTCATTTGCATTTCTTCTTCTATGAACTGCCCATCCTATTCCATGCCAGTGGTGTACAAATGGGGGATGGGGCACACAGCAAGAGTGATCATCTCTGATAGGGAGGACAATTTTACCACTGATGCTATTCAGGATTGCTGTGCATGATGATGATAAAAAGAAGACTGGCTTGCAGCTGGTCTTATTACCATTTTAAAATTCTCTATAGACAATGCCCCCTCTCCCTCATCGCTGGTGCCTGGGTGGGGTGCTCCTACTGTCTCTCCCACGTTCTTCTGAGTTGTTTGTCTTATTGCTTTGTATGATTTCTGTTTGTATTTTTTTTCTTTTTTTTTTCTGTTTGTATTTTGGACATTAATGCTTTGTTGTATTTATTGTGACTATCTTCTCCCATTCTGTTCTTGTCTTTTAATTTTATTTATGGTTAGGTGTTTTATTCCCTTTAACTTTTGAAGATCATCAGTTAACTTGTATGGTAGGCAATTAATTTGTTTTAAAAACTCTCACTCTCTTTCCTTTGGGCATTGCTTTAAATTACTCCCAGACTGAATTGGAGGACTTCTGGATCCATTTTCTAATGACTGACAAGGGAGCAGCCAGATGGTCTAGCTATGACAGCACAGCTCGTCAATACTAGATATTTTGGGGAGATGAATTGTATCAGAGCAAAAAATCTCTCTGCGCAAAGGATGAGTCATGGGCATGACTGACTGGCTGCTAGCATCTGCAATCAACTCTGGTTTGCTACCCTCTGACTCACTGATTAAAGCATAAATAGATTGGGCAGGATCTTGGCTTTTAGTTCAGAGAAACTTTCTTGATATTCAGGGGGTTGGTAGAGGAGATTATAACTCTGCCTCCAAGGATGCCGCCTTTGTTAGGAACGGTGACCACGTGAGAACTTTCTTTTGCATGTAGAAAGACCAGAATAAAGTTAGCCTTTCTGCTGCCACTGCTTATGTTCCTTGCTCAAGCTATGGCTGGTCTTTGTGAATTTCCCCGGACATACCCATAGCCTTGCCTGAGGATGGGACTTGTGAGTCAGTGGTGGCCGTCACCTTGGGCTGGTGGTGTATGCATGTATTTCATGAATAGCTGCCACTACCACTTACAGCCTCACCCACCTGCATGTCTGTTCAGAGGCAGATTGTCAGCCAAAAAAGAATGAGCCCTGTGACACTGCAAGCAAAAAAAGGATTAGCTGTGCAAACAGAAGTCTGCAACAAGACATGATCCTCTGAAAAACAAGCCAGCCACATGCCTAAAACCTCATCTATAGTATTTCAGCTTTTCCGTTCCCAGCCTCATCGCGCACACACCATTAACTTGCACACGCCAGAAACTCTCACACAGCCACACACTTACGTAGGCTCACGTCAACTTAATATGCAGAAATATAGTCACATACAATTATAAACATTCACATAGAACTACATTCATACCACACACCTGCACAAAACTACACACATACACTGATACATGTTGCACATACATCCTCATACATGCCCTCACATACAGGTACGCACTCACACACATTATACATTCACACACAAATAACCACACACACATTTCATATAACCTTCCTTCTCTACCAGGAACACACACTTTCTCACCTGGAGATCTGGGTAGCATTTGTAATAAAAATGCTCCCAGAAGTTTCCTTCCTGCTGTTTGGCTGCTGAAATTTGTGGGACAAGTAGTGGGAGGGACACTCAGGCCTGAGTCAGATGACCAAGTGCTCTGACTGGGAGCTCTGACTGGTGCTCTGACCAGGGGCGACCACAGAACCTCACACACAGAAAGACTTCAATATTTATTGAGAAAAATCAAAGAATTTGTGATTTACCCCATAACCTTTTCTTTGTCTAAATTTTAAAATTAAAAACAACTTTTTATTAGAGTAATTTCTTGTCTCTTTCCCCTTGCCTAACTTCTAACAGACATGCCCAAGGTGATATGCCGATCTCTTATACTAAAACCCTCTCTGGAGAGTAGAAAACCCACATAACTTCCTAAGTCTTTTGAGAATGTAATCGGAGCTGTCAGAACCTTAGAGCTCATCTAATCCAAGGCTGTCATGTTATAGATGAGTGAACTGAGGCCCAGAGATATTAAGTGATTTCTGCAAAGTCACCCTGCTGGTTGGTAGCAGAACAGGGACAAGGGACTCAACAGCCTGATTCCTGGACCAGTGCTATCCTACACTTTGCACTTTGGACTTGACTGATTTTATTCCAGGGAATAACTTCTTGATAAGACTCTTAAGAAAACAAGTCTTAACATATAATATACACTATATTACAGTAGTCTATGAGGAATTATACTGGTTAGGGTAGAGCATTAGTTGTATTCTAATAAATCTTGCTTATACTATCACCCTGCCAGTCCTCCAATCTGACATATGTTTAACCTTGTGACTTTAGATGTGATGAAAGCATCCCTGTTGTACTATTTCTATAAATTTCAACTCTGACTTTCTTAGTATATGGGAATCCCTGAATATTCCATGGTTGGTTGCATCTGCCTGGTAGTTATTAGAACAATCTCAGGTCACAACAGTTTTTAGCCTTGCCCTACTTAATAGATATGCTATAGCTAGTGATGGTGACCATCATTTCATTAGAGCAACAAAGCCACTAACTGTCTCATTAACTTTAAAGAGATTAGATTTGTTTTAGATCATTGACCTTTATTTAGCCAATGTAATGATTTATGGTATTATCATATGTTTCCTGTTGCTTCATAAACTGGAGTTGGACTTTTTTTTTGTTTTGTTATTTAAGACATTTGTATTTCTCTAGAGTTGGTTTCTGATATTTATATAATTTTTTGAGCTGTGTTAAGTTTAGACGTCTTACTCTAGCCCATGTCCAGTAGATTTACTTGGAAATTTGTATATGTGCGGTGGGACGTTTAAGTGCATTGCATGGCATAACTTTTTCAAACAACGTATAAGTGTGCTGTGTATCTGTATCTGCACAGTCATGCTTATTCTAAAAATAGTATAATATGCTTCCATGTAAGCATATAAAATTTGAATAACAGTGTGAACGCACAAAGCTGGCAGCTGTTAACAGCTATTACTCTCACTTGAACTACTGAACCTTCCCCCAAAGACAAACTAACACAACGTTAAATAAAAAAGATAGGTAATTTAAAATACACTATGATAAGATTTCCCTGGTGGCGCAGTGGTTAAGAGTCCGCCTGCCAATGCAGGGGACAAGGCTTCAAGCCCTGGTCCGGGAAGATCCCACATGCCACGGAGCAACTCAGCCTGTGTGCCACAACTACTGAGTTGGTGCACCACAACTACTAAAACCCTTGCGCCTAGAGCCTGTGCTCCCCAATAAGAGAAACCACCACGTTGAGAAGCCCGCGCACTCGCTGCAACTAGAGGAATCCTGTACGCAGCAACGAAGACCCAACGCAGCCAAAAATAAATAAATAAATAAAATAAATTTATAATAAAATAAAATACACTATTATATAGTGAATGCTGACAGTGGTTGTTAGGGTGATAGAGTATTGGGTAAATCTTCACTTTTCTCTATTTTCTAAATGTTCTATAATTTTATTATTTTAATACTAAAAAGACCACATTTATTATTTTAAAAGAAAGGCAAACAAGAAGAAAGAATAAAACAACAACACTGAGAAACATGTTTGTAAAAATTTCCCCAAGTTGACATTACGGTGTGGAGGTGTGGGAATGTCATTATGGTTCTTGCCCTTTATTATAATCCTGCTTTCACAAAAGGGACCACCAATTGATGTGCCACTTCCTTTATTGCTCTTAATAGTCTTGAAGTTTTATCTTTTTATTTTTTCTTTTATATAATAGCTCTCTCTCCTTCTTTCTTCCCCTCTCTTAACATATGTCTTTGTGCTTTTCTTGTTATGGTGGTTTTGTGTTATTTGTTATGTCATCCATTGACTGTCAGTTCTGAAATAATTAATCTGACACCGAGGTATCTTTTAATTATGATATGAGGTAATCGAACATTATGATATGCCACTTAAAAAAATTCAAAGTTAAAATATAGCCAATATTTTATAATAACTGTAAATGGAAAGTAACCTTTAAAAACTGTATAAAAATTTTAAAAAGTGGATTTAATTAGAAAATTAATTTGGGGTTAAAAAAGAGTAAAAAAAGTTTTTAATATTAAACAGTTCATTCATTCATTCAAAAATATTTTCATATATTGCAAATAAATAAGTTAATTAAATGGGATCAACGTCGGTGTTAATAGAAAGTCTGTCCAGCAGGAAGGACTTGCATTCAGATTTTGCCAAGGTTGATTGTCCTGCTGAAGTGATTTGTCTTGTTTCTTATCTCCAGATAGAGTGAAACAGCTTCTGTGAATAGTTTTTCTGCCATGGATCAATGAATTTGTAGGTTTCATTTGCTAGTTAAATGTTTCTGTCAAATATCCTTATTCATGAAGAAAATGATTCCTTTTTATACTTTGTCCTTCTCAGGAAAAATGATAGTAGGTATCCTTTGAAAATACAGGTGTAAAGACTCACCTATAGGAACAGAATTAAATCTGTGTCAAATTTTATACATGTGTGTTGTGTGCATGTGTGTGTGTACATTCACACACATAAGCATCAGTAACTAGCATTTGTGGAAATTCTATCAGGGGATACCACCAAGGAGACTCGACTTCAGGTATTGAGGATACAACTGAACAGTGTTGAGGAAAACCTTTATTGCTATCACTTATGAATGTTTCTATTCTCACGGAATGCTCTCATGGTTGCTCTAATGATAACTTTAATTTTCAGGTTCAGAAACGGAAATTAGTTAAGCCTTGTGAAAATTTAACCTATATACTCTACTTGCCTACTTACTTCCTAAATCCTACTTGCCAGTTTATGATGGGAACAAATTTTAGAGACCAGAGTTATCATTTTTATTTCATATCTTCTTTTAGTGAATCCTTTACATTTTAATTACTTTCACTTTTTCTAAATACTGGATTTAACTACTGGTTAGAGCAGGGGCTAAGGAAATTTTCCTGAAATGATTTCTCTCCTCGCTATCTCTTAGTCTTATTGAAAAGCAGCTTCAGTTTTGCAACATACACATAATATTTTCATTATTTAAAAAAAAAGAGCTATTTTAAAAATGTGTATCTATACCATATGAAAAAAGCAAGGTTTAATCTTTTTTTTTTTTCATTCTAGCTAAGCAACCCTCTTCTCCAAGCATGCTAGGAAATGCTGCGTTCCAGAAGCCCCTCCCGGATCAAGATGGGTTGGGGAGAGGGAATAAGCAAAAGGCAGAACAGTGGGCCTCTTCCGATCTTGTTAGAGAAAAGTCTTGAAGCAGGTAGAAAAAGGAGAAAATGAGCTGACACCTTCTACACTCCCTCCCTTACTCCTCAGAATATTTCTGTGAGGGCACATGCCAGAGAAGTTTGTGGAAACATGGTCTCACGGGAGACTGGAACTGAAGTGTGATAGGTCTGCAGCAGCGGATGGCCAGGCCGAGGAGCCTGGGTTCTGCTCTCTCATTAGGCCTGGGCTGTCACATTCTCTCTCTCTCCCTTCCTCCTTCCCTGTTTTCTCTCACCGAGTGCACGCGTGCGCACACACCCACACCAAGATTTTCAAAGTGTTCATTCCATGTACATTCTACTCATAGACCAAAAATTCAACCAAGAGAATATAACCACAATCTTTGTTAGGTATTGTTGAAACATAGAAGTAACATAAGTAAAAATAAATATAAGTGAAAAATTTTAAAATAAAACCACTACTGGAGCATTTGGGAAGAGAAGTGCCTTTTTAGTAAATACATAAATTATAGTTATTTAATTTAGAAAACACCAATAACTTCAGTGTTTCTGGAAAGTAGACTTGGCATCTCTAGAAATAGTTATATGACCTTGATAAAGAAAAGAAATTCCTTACTCTTTTGGGCCTTATGAGTTATTGTTATAATTAGTAAGGCCAAAGGACTATAATAAAACATTCTTTGAATATTAAAATAATTCTTCCAAAGCCTATATTAAGCCTTGCAAATTTCAGGCAAGTTATTGTATCTGAAAATCTGCCCAAGATATACACCCTAGTGAGTAACGTGTTGCTATGAAAGCTTTTGGATTGAAAAAAAATGGACTTTTTAGAATATTTATTAGAATATTTGATTTACTGGATTTCGGCTCCTCTCCTGCCTGTTTCTCTTGCTAAACATTCAGAGTGAGACTTTACTATGATTATCTAATCTTACCCCATTCTTAGAAGTTCAGCCTCTGTAAATAATGGGAAAGGAGACCCTCCTGGATTGCTGTAGTACATATTTGGCTCTGAATTAAATGAATGTTTAAATAGCTAAGATTTTCAGTTAATGTTGAATTTGGCTGGATACCCTGTGGTTATAAAATTTTAAGCCTTTAAAAATACATGGGTTCTGCTATCTTCCTGATTTTTTTTTCCTGACTAGCATTTTGTTACTACCCTCACTGTCTGCTTCAAACAAATATTATGTAGTTTACAATTCTTATAGCATATGGTTGCTGCCTACAAGCACTTTGTGTGCTTTAGCAGACAGCCACATGCAACACTGAAAAATGATTTCTTGGATGACTAGTAGAGAATCTTGCTTTAAACCATTTTTCTACTTGAGTTCAACTTTTAAGGTAGGGTTGGGTTAGATCTGTTTTTTCCCTCGCTCCCTCTCTTCCCTCCTATTTCTTTGTTGCAGTCTCTCTTTACTCTAGATAGAGTAATTCATGCTGTCAGTATCATTAGAGGTTCTTGTCACGCAGTAATAATGTAATACTCATGTAGACAACCCCAGGTATTTCTAGCTTTTGCATCTCCTAAATCCTCACCTATTTTTCAAGTCATTTTGAGTAGGGACCCACTTGTCCTTTGCTTTGAACTTCTGGCTGTACAGAATTCATCAAAGCAGAAAATGTGTTGGCTTGCAAGCCTCATCACTCATATTTAAACCCTGTGTGGATTTGTTTTGGAAAAATAATAGCTTTTACTAAGCCATAATTGACATGAGGGCTGAATGTAATTTCCTGCTGCCAAGGAGAGGGTTGGAAAGAAGGAGCAAAAGCTTTGAGAATATAGATTAGGGCAGTGACAGCAGGAGGTGGTGGGGAAACCCTCTGGAGAGAGTGGTAGACAACAGGGAAGCAATTGAAGAGTTGGCAGGGCCAGGTGAATATGCTCTCTCCAGACCTCTAGCTCAAAAGCCGGGGTACCAGAGCACAGACTCTCCGCCGGAGGGCCCTCAATCCCTCTATTCCCACCTCCCTTTCCCACTTCCAACCCTTTCCTTGCAGGAAGGCGTGAGTGGGCTGCTTCACCACATGAGGGTGTTGCAAGGCAAGGGGCCGAGTTGTGTAGGAGAAGCAGCTGCAAGAGGTGAGCAGTCTACTGCGGTGATTGTTCCCCCATTTTTTAGGGCCTCTTTTGGCCATCTTTGTGTCTATGTGCTCTGTATAGCCTTGCGATCTAACCCAATCCTGTTCTGTCATTTAATCCATTGGTTGAATTTATTGACCTACCATTGGGTTACTTATTTTTACCCAACATTATGTAGCCTAATATTTGTGTTCTGAACCTATTTCTAATTCACAGAGCATTAGTCTACTGTAGTCCCAGGTGCAAGTAAGAGATAATTTTTTTGATAAGCATCTAAATATTCTGCATGACAGAAAGCCAAAAAGAGATGATAGAATATATGTGTAATATATATTTGCATACATGTGTATAAAATATACACGTGTATATAAGTGCATAAGCACATATATGTATATATTCATACATATACACACACAATGTATATAATGTTTAAATGGAACCTGGTCATCCATTACTTACTATGGCACTTATTAAACTCTATGGAAATAAATAAAGCATCACATTTTCAGTATTTATATATTGTGATGGGAGTCTTTAAACACCAAATCTTACTGTTGATTAAGAAATTGAATTAAGTACCATCTTAATGGCAAATTAATATAAATTTGCTACTCGTATGTTTTGTTGCCATTTGAGAAAATTATCCTATCAGTGTTAAATAGAAAAGCTCCAAATCAGTTCTAAGTTGAGAACAAATAGCAAAGGCTGAAGGTACTACTCCGCATAACATATTAAAATGTCTTGATTCTAAATAAGTCTCTTCCATTAGACGTCCCCAGCCCTTAACGCCTCTTTCAGGAGACAATCTGTTAGGACGATGGAAAGTCGGGAAGAACAGCCTCAGAAGGCAGAGGAGGCTTAGTCGACTCCTTCCAGATTGGTGTCAGCCACTTTGGGCAGCGGGGGCCCAGCTGAGGCCCCTCCTGGCAGCCCCTCTGCTGCTGCTGCTGGGGGCTGCCTCCTGGGCTCACATCTAGACTCCCCAGCTGGCACGTGCTCTCCTGCTGCGGGCGGGGGGGCACGACCGTCTGCCTCCATCACCCATAGAAAAGCCTCTGCCGGAGGCTCCGGGGCCTGGCCGGAAGCTGCTGCCTCTGGCTTCCGGGTCTGCCCGTTGGCTTCCATCACCGGTAGAAATGCTTCTGCTGGAGGCTCCGGGGCCTGGCCGGAAAATACTGCCTCTGGGTTCCGGGGCTGCCTGTTGGCCTCCACCTCCCGTAGAAATGCTTCTGCCCGAGGCTCCGGGGCCTGGCCGGAAGCTGCTGCCTCTGGGTTCCGGGGCTGCCCGTTGGCGTCCATCACCCGTAGAAATGCTTCTGCCGGAGGCTCCGGGGCGTGGCTGGAAAATGCTGCCTCTGGCTTCTGGGGCTGCTCGTTGGCCTCCATCTCCCGTAGAAACGCTTCTGCCGGAGGCTCCGGCGCCTGGCTGGAAAATGCTGCCTCTGGCTTCCGGGGCTGCGGATCAGCCTGTGGTGCAGGAGGGGGGCCATTGCCTTGGGCCTGTGCTCCTGACCCTGCTCTGAGGGGAGGTTCTGCCTCGTTGCCTCCCTCCGCCTCAGCCTGAGGACTTGGGGGTTGCAGGGGACTCCCTGAATGGCGTGCTGGGCTCAGAGGGGATTGTTCCAGCCCCTTGAGGGCCGTGCCGCCGCCCCCTTGAGGACTGCTGACTTCTGTTTGGATTTCTTTGGACGCATCGAGGGTTGACTCTGGACGATGAATGACCATGAAGGCCGCGGTCAGATTTTGCACAGCATTGTGAACACTGTTGGCTTCCTCCGCATCTGCCTCTTCACCCACGGAGGTATTTGACTCCGGTTCGTCGTCGTCAGAGGTGAGCTGACCTTGGTCATCCTTTTCAGGCATTTTTGTTTCTCTAATTTTTTTATAGAGTTCGTTTCTCTCCTCTTGTAAAGCTCGACAGAGGTTCTCTAGCCTTCCAATTTTCATCACGAAGCACTCATATTCTTTAGCTCTCAGTGCTTTCTGTCATTTAAACAGACACACACACTTATAAAACGACATGAAAAGCAAAATTGCCAGGATGCTCTATGGAGAGAAGCAAAGCCATTTGTCCAGGAATTTGTCTGTTAGGCTCTGACCACAGGGTGGTGGCTGGACAGATACTCGGTCAGGGACATCACTTCTAGTTTTGTACTGTGTTGGAGACTCTGGTAGAATTTTAAGCCACATATTCTTTTCTTTAGAAAAGAAAGATAGCAAAGCTTCTCTCTGTTTCAGTCTAGGGCTTTTAAAATCTTATAATAAATTTCCTGCTTCTAAGACTTAGAAGGCATAAGTAGAAGTTTATGACAAAATGATTGAGATGGACTGGGTCTTGGCCATCAGCAATGCCTTATCTGTTCTGTAGATAAACTGCTATATGCTAATCCAGCAACTGTTTGATTTATGTTTATGAATAATAAGCACATCTCTTTGGAATTGGTTGCAATTTGGGATGAATTGTTAGAACAGTAATTATATCCAGAGAAACTCACCACACACTCATTCATGATGCTGCTTGAACTGTTCAATTCTCCTTTCCTCTAGAAATGTTGGTGTGTTTGTGCATGAAATCATCTTACTCCTTCAGCCCCACCTTTGTGCTACTCTGTACCTTTTTTTCCCCCACTTCTTTACGTGGAGAGGCCTTCACTTGAAAGCCCTGCCTCTCAGGTTAAGGACCATGTATCTTTGCCTTTATGGTCTCAGAATCTCCAGAGCCTGATGTAATATCAGTATTTAAATGCCTGTTGGAGGAATTAAACAATATATCTCTGTATCTGTCTATAAAATAGCACATACCCTGGGTGCTTGGGCTAGTGTCTTCTCTCAGTTATGTTCAAATCAACTAATTAATTTATTCTGCGCCTGTATTGTGTCAGGCACCAGGGAAATTCAAGGACAGGTAAAACACTCATCCTGCCTTTAAGGAATTCACGGTCCAGCAGGTGTGGTGCTGCTTTGGGGACAGCTTTGGAATCAACAAGTAGGCGTGTGACTTAGGGTCACAACACTCTTTATGAGTCTGGACCTAAGACTAAATTACTAAATTGACGTTTGCTCTAATTATTTTTATTACAATATCATATACCACATCCCAGAAAAATTCAGCTCTTTTTCAAAAGTAATTATTTTGTGGTATTAGACCATAATTATTTTCTGAGTATAAATATATTGACTAGACAAGGGAAGATGAACAAGGGGAAAAACTTCCTCACCTCTTCAATCATGTCCAACAGAGCTTTGTTACAGTTCTCAAACCGAGCTTTCCACGTGGCTGTGTCCTTTTCCAGCTTCTTCATTTTCTTAGTGGTCTACAAAAATGAGTGTTTTAATGTTAATTCTGAAGAGTTAATATATCAAAGAAACTATCAGTTCCCTATGTGACTTCAAGAAAAGTCCTTTCATTACCAGCTGCTGAAGCAAGCAAAAATTCGATGTCAAGAAATGATGACTGAGTGGAGAGAGTCATGATTTATTTTTGAATCATCTAGGTCAGTGGTGAACAAACTTACTTGCACCAGAGCCAATTAAGGAGAAAGGAAAACTACTTAAGGCCTTTCTGTTTTGTCATTGCTTTTTCTTTTTCTTAAAATAAAAATAGCCTTATTGAGTTCCAAGAATAAGCTTGAAATTTAGATTATTTACTGTACTGAATGGAAGATTATTAGTGAGAAGGTCGGCCTGGCTTTTCAGATGTTAAAATGTTGATAATATCTGGGCACATCTGAGAAGTAGCCACACAAAGGCAACTTTCTATGTTCTCAGCCTTCACATTTGTAGAGTGCAGTAGGATTCACAGAATGTGATTACATGCGTTATTGCTTTCATCCTTGAGACAGTCCCCCAAGGAGGGTTCTGTTTTCACTTCCACTTTATAAACGGGGAAACTAAGGTTCAGAGAGGTGGAGTAATATTCAGGTGAGTTAGCAGAAGAGTAGGGCTGGAGTTATTTCATTTAATGCAACATGTGCAGAGTGCATGCTAGTTGCCAGGCCGGGCTGGGTGTAGGGCATCCAGAAGTTACTAAAATGAAGCCTGGCTTTTTCAGACCTGAAACTACTCACGTTCCTGGTTATAGGAGCTCCTCCTCCTCTCTGCTTGCCTGAAGGACAAGGCGTGTGTTCAGGTGCAGTTACCCTGGATGAACCACACCTGGGCACTGGCTGCTTCATGCTAACCTGCCTGAGGCGGGTCTGCTTGGAGGCTAGAGGCTGGGCCCAGGCAGTTGGCCCCTGGGCCCTATAGAGAAGCTATATGAGCCTTGAGTGCTTTTTTATTTTGATCATTTCTTAACTGACTTAAACTTTTAAAAGTCATCAGCACCTTTAGGAATTTGATGAAATCCATGGGACCACACCTAAAGAAATGCAATATGCATATCAAATTTTTTTGCTAATTCTGCTAAGAGTCTATAAATTAACTCCAGATAGAAAACTCCTTTAATATTTATTCCAATCTTAAAACTATGTAATTTTGCAATAAATAACAGCATTTTTACTACTCTAATATTTATTCCAAATTAAAACTCTGTAATTAAAAAAAATTTTTTTAAATGGATGGATCCATCGTGGAGTGAGAAAGCTGTAACTTTTAACAAATGTTGGCCCTTTAAGTTTGCTCATGAATTGTGAAATTTATCATATTAGTTTATGAAAATTTTTTCAAAGAATGCTTTCTACACTTAAAAAGGGTTAATGCCAGTGCCTGTTCAGAAACACAGTTCTGATGCTGATTTTATTTTGGGAAGACACTGAATTAAACAAAATGTAAACAGTATGTCTAACAATAATATTAGCACCTCATATTTGTGAAAGACTTTTAAAAAGTTTAAGACCCTTAAAAATACATTAACTTATTTGAACTTCACAATCTTGTCAAGTAGGCAAGGGAAATCGTTTCTTAATTTATAGATAAGGGGGAAGTTAAGTGAATTGTTCACTGCTACTTGATGAGTAAAAACACACCCAGACTTCATCTCCTCATTCAACGCCCTGTCCGTTATATCTTATTACATATATTCTCTTCTGAGAAGGATCCTATGAAATGGTATTTTCTACTCTAACATTCTGCTTTTGCTTATTTGTATGAAAATTAATTTTTTAATCTTTAAAAGATTAGTTTTTAATTTCAGTATAAACAACATAATATTAAATTTCTAGCTCTTATCTTTTCTTTTTACACCTCTCCATGGCCTAGAAAATGAAAATATTCTTCCTCAGAGTGAAAATGTATCCTAGTGTTTTCAGACTCTTCCTAAGACTAATTCACCAGATACTTACCGATAAAAAAAATACAGTCCAAATCTCATTTGCATGTATAAATGTTTCATTACTTCATGAAATGCACTGAAATATCTTAGCAAGAGAAAAATGAACCCAAAGGAGTGTTGCGTGTCGAACTAGAAGATGTCAGTATTTCGTGGGGGATAAGAAATACTCACTTTCTCCATTTCCTGTTTGAAGGTGGCAAACACCTCATTGCTTTTTGCCAGTGTGCTCTGAAACTCTTCAAACCTTTCAGAGTAGACAGTAAGCTGTAAACAGGGGAAAGAGTAGATTTGTTTTAGGACTGCTTTCAGAATGCTTCCAGAACAAAACAACATGTCATTGTTTATTGTTTGAGAACAAAAATGATATAAGGTAATTTTTAATACAATGTTAGTGATATGTTCAATTCTTTTTACTACGAGATCAGCCTAGGTCAGTGAGTATGATTGAAGTACTTCTTTAAGGAAAAATGAAATAATAAAATACATCATCACCATTTCATTATAACTTTTACCAGCAAACATTTTTTGAGCATTGAACATAAGCACTGACTCTGTGTACAAAAGCATTTAACCTGTAGTTCCTGTTTTTGAGGGACCTGCACTCCTGACAGGAAGATAATCCCAAAGACAACTTGATTATAGGACAGTGAATACAAAGTACCAAGTCAGTTAAGTACTGATCAGAGAAGGAGGTGAGTGTGGCAGGTGATCATTTGAGCCACAGTTTTGTGGAGAAGGTGAGCCTTGTACCTGGTCTTGAAGGAAGCAAGAATGAAGACAAGTATGGGCCAGACATGGACGACGGTTGCTGCATTATGCAGGTTGTGCTATCATAAGCAATCGTCCTTTCCCTTTTTGACATTGTGGTTTTGTGTATTTATGAATACAGTGTTCTAGCCAACAGCAGTTAGTTGTCCCTTTTCAACAAAATCGGTTTATGATACCAATTTTTTTATAGATGGAAATAATGAGTCTTGAGGGAGAAATGCCTTTTTCTAATTTGCACCAATAAAACATCATAAGGATTAGCCTGGGAGTATGGAGAAGCTTTGTACCTCCACATCCTTAATTCCGAGGCTTGTATTTGGGGTAGGAATAGGGCAGGATAGGGAAGGAGAGTGCATAAATCCTTGATTGTTACTGACAGTGATACAATAATAAAATCTTTTGAAAATAATTTTAGGATAGCACATTTTGAGTGAGTGGAGATTTAATATGGATGATTCTTGTTTACTAACATGGAAAGTTTCCGTTTTCAAATGAGACTTTGGTACTCTGACTGTCTGGAACAGTCTCAAGTCCTCAGTTGGGCGCCAGCTGGCTGGTGGTACTTGTGAGACTGTCCTTTCAAAAGCAGAGAAGAGTGACTGACCGAAAGCCAGTAGGTTGGAGAGTTCCCAGTCTTGGGGATGGGAGTTATAGAGGAAGGGTGTGGGAATCAAACAACCCCTAGAACCAAGAAAATTTGCTTATCTAGAATGGCTCATTCTCACATGATTCAGAATAGCAGGGTTTTACTGCAGTACACAAGAACAACAAAATAACGTAAAACTTTTCATAGGACACAGATTTTCCCAAGTCAGACAACAGCTGACCGTCATTTTGAAATCAATCATTAACTCTGTGGATATGTGATAAAACTTGAGGTAACTCTAGTGGCCTAAAATTCTTCTCATGATTCTTTGGCATACAGATTTAAAAAGACTGGGTAAAGTGGCAAAAGGGAATTCATGGCCAGGAAGGTACCCTAGGGTTTTACACACATAGTGCATAAGACAATACAGCTGACCCTTGAACAGGGGGTTAGGGACACTGATCCTCCATGAAGTGCAAAATCTGTGTATAATTTATAGTCAGCCCTCTGTACTCCCGGGTGCTCATATCTGCGGTTCCCCATCTGCAGATTCAACCAACTTTGGATACTGCCGTACTGTAGTATTTACTATTGAAAAAAATCGACGTGTAATTAGATCAGCACAGTTCAAACTCATGTTGTTCAAGTGTCAACTGTACTTGATCATTATATGCAATGCACCCTTGATATAGTCTATTTAATTGTTTCATTTTTTCCCAAAGTACTGGCTGAGATCCACTGAACCTTGATTTCAGGGTGAATGAATAGGTCAAGTCCCTCAATTTGAATGTAAGCTCCTGTGGGACTGGCTGCCTGTACTGCCCATGGTCTAGTGGTGTAGGGTGGGGACAGCTACCCCCAGCTGATCCTCTTCACCTATCACAAAATCCATTCATTTGTATTTTTGGCCAAGCCTCCTGTTAACTTCTTTTCCTTAACTTTCTCCTCTTTCTTTTTCCAGCTTTTCAGTAATTCCAGCAGAAGTACAGGGGGTTCGCAGATATGATCTCCTGAGCTGGTCCTCCCAGACCCTCTCCTGCACAACTAGGCCCTCTCTCTAGTTGTAGGCTGCAGACAGGAAGGGAAGGAGTGGGCACGTGTGCGGTGCATTTCACCTGCACAACCTTGACAGGCTCAACGGGGGCAACCACACGCACCCCGGCCAGCTCTCTCCTCATTCTTTGGGCAAAATGTTCTTTTGGTGTATAAATTCGGCAGATTTTGTTTCCCTTCCCCATGTTTTCTTGTGGCATGGAGAAGACAAATATACCAGAGTTCCAAGGAGTAGTGTCTCACTTCATTACCACTTCTGGCTTTTTTCTAGTGACCATCAACTTTTTCTCTCTTTTCATCTTTTAAATTGGGTAAAATACACATAACATAAGATTTGCCATCTTAACCATTTTAAATATATAGTTCAATATTGTTAAGTATATTCACATTGTTGTGCACCCCAATTTCCAGAACTTTTCATCATGCAAAACTGAAACTCTACACCTGTTAAACGATAGCTCTCCATTTCTTCCTTTTAGTGACTGTTTTTAATAGTCTGCTTTTCTTCCTATTTGACCTCTTTGTCATAGGTGGCAAAACCTGTATGGACTGTACTTTTCTCAAGTAACCAACTCTGTCACTCTTTATTGATACGAACTAAAATGCACACTTCCTGTTTACTTTATGGATATGTGTTTGGTCATACTTTCCCTCTCACTATTATGCTGATATGATGCATGTTTTTTTGGTTTTGTTTTGTTTTTGGTTTTTTTTTTTGCGGTATACGGGCCTCTCACTGTTGTGGCCTCTCCCGTTGCGGAGCACAGGCTCTGGACGTGCAGGCTCAGCGGCCATGGTTCACGGGCCCAGCCGCTCCGCGGCATGTGGGAACTTCCCAGAAGGGGGCACGAACCCGCGTCCCCTGCATCGGCAGGCGGACTCTCAACCACTGCGCCACCAGGGAAGCCCGTGATGCATGTTTGATGTGTCATATTCCCTCTTTCACTTTGGTATTTCAGGGAAGCGTGGAAGGAACATCCAGAGGTCTTCCTCAGTATTTTTACCAGAGGCAGAAATAGAAACAAACTATTCTAGGGTTAGTAACAACAACAGTTGCCCTGACATTTCACTTTTAAATGGGCGGAGCGGCACACACATTCTTTTACCTGAGCACAAATTTTAATTACAAACATTCATAGCATATATGAAACAGAAACATGTCCAGGAATTGTCTTAGCCAACTTGGGAGATTTGGTTTGGGAACTAGTCCAATTATAATAGTAATTGCAGAGGAATCTCCTTTCATCTTATATAGATAAGGTGAGGCCTTCTGAGATTAAAGACTGTGAATACCCATCTTTAACAGTTAGTTGACTCACTGATCTTTCCCCGGGGTAGTATTTTGTGTCCGTGCTGCTGTGTTTTGTGGGTATTGCTGACTTCCCACATCTACTACCATCTTCATTCTTATCGATCCAATGAATACTCTATTTGTAGCCACAATTGTATCCCATTGATCATCTCTGACATTTACTCTATTGCCTTGGTTTGTATAATTGAAAGCTAGACATCTCTTCCCTAAGTGAGAATCATGCCCCAGATTGGCAACATGTTGTCTTATGACTGAAAAGTGACTTCCGCCTAGGAAAACACAATCTATCCTTGATATTTCCTTTGCTAAGACCATAGAAATGGAGACTAAGGCCTCTCCTTCCTACCATCCGACTCCTTTCTTTCTTTCTTTTTTTTTTTTTTTTTTTGCTGTACGCGGGCCTCTCACTGTTGTGGCCTCTCCCATTGCGAAGCACAGGCTCCGGACGCGCAGGCTCAGCGGCCATGGCTCACGGGCCCAGCCGCTCCGCGGCATGTGGGATTTTCCCAGACCGGGGCACGAACCCGTGTCCCCTGCATCGGCAGGCGGACTCTCAACCACTGCGCCGCCAAGGAAGCCCCATCCGACTCCTTTAATTGTCAAACCAAAGGAAGTGTTTGAGTGCCTTGCAAGATCATCTGTGATAGACTTTGTTTTTCAAGGTTTAAACATTTAAAAAATATAATGCTGATATTTTTCAAGAGGAGCTCATTTAAACATTATTACACATAGGGATTTGGGACCTCTGTATTCTTTGTGATGATTAAGTAATTATTGCAGTTCTGAAAATGCCTTGAAGACAAAAGAGATAGACAAGGGAGGGTCCTTACAGAGAGAGCCACGTGCCATGGAAAGCAAGGTGATGGAGGAGGCAGGGTTATCTAGTTTAGCTGAGTTCTTCAGCTCTGGATATTCTCTACATTCATAAACTAGAGCTGAACATGGTTTTGAGATCATCTTTTCCAGTGGTTCTTAAACTTCTTTTCAAATAAGGACTTCTTTTGTCTCATATATCACTATGTGGATCCTTACCTATGAAATAATACTAATGTTAGCGCATACACTAATCAGTTGTTAGCATTTTAATTAATATTTATCACTAGATTGTGAGTTTAATTAGGCAGGGATTTTTGATTTTCTTATTAAGTACTATATTTCTAACATCTAGAGCCATGCCTATCACTTAGATGCTCAATAAATATTAGTTGAATTAATTATGCTTACTATGGGGGCAGGCACTAAGTGTTTTTTTTTTAATTGTTGAATGTGTCTACTCTTTTGTTTTTTAATTAGTTTATTTTTATTTTTGTCTGTGTTGGGTCTTTGTTGCTATGAGCAGGCTTTCTCTAGTTGTGGTGAGCGGGGGATACTCTGTTGCGATGCACGGGCTTCTCATTGCAGTGGCTTCTCTTGTTGCAGAGCACAGGCTCTAGGTGCGAGCTTCAGTAGTTACAGTACACGGGCTCAGTAGTTGTGGCTCGTGGGCTCTAGAGTGCAGGCTCAGTAGTTGTGGTGCACGGGCTTAGTTGCTCCGTGGCATGTGGGATCTTCCCAGACCAGGGCTCGAACCCGTGTCCCCTGCATTGGCAGGCGGATTCTTAACCACTGTGCCACCAGGGAAGCCCTGAGCTAAGTGTTTTGAGTGCATAACTTGAAAACAAACTGCATATACTACATGTTAATTAACTCATTTTCCTTCTATAAACTTAATCAAACATATGAATAACTGCCATCCACGCTGCTAAGCAAAAGCTGATATAATGTCAGAAACAACTACATTTTAGATAGTAGCTGCTGCCTTATGTGCTGTTAGGTTTTGGAAATACTGAAAAGTAATGGGCCTCCCAGAGGTCAGAGGACTCCAGCTTGGGATCATTGATCCATTACAACATCCTTATTTTACAGACCAGGAAATTTAGGTCCAGGGAGGTTTAGGTGAGCTGCACAGAATCAGACAGCTTCACAGTAGAAGAGCCAGGACTCTGACCCTGGTACCTGGGTTCGACTCAGTATTGAGGGATGAACGAGGAACACTGGCAAGTCTAGAACCCTGGGTCATACTTTTTCAAACTTGAGTGGGTATAGGTGGGAAATTGGATCACACCTTTATGTTATTTCACAGGTCATTAAAGACCAAGATTCTGATACCAGCCAAATGAGTCACTCTCTAGCCCAGAGTCTAATGGTATTAATCTATTCTTCATTTAACATAGAGGAGTAGAGATTGCTTATAACAGATGGAACAATGAATAGCTTCAAGTACTGCCTGTTGTACCCCTCAAGGCTCTGTGCTGTGAATGGGACAGGGATAGAGCCAGAAGCCCTGACTTGCTTCTCTGGACTCTCCCCGGCGACAGCCCCCCACCGCTGGACAGTGAGGTCACACCTCCTTTCCCCCCCTGCCTGCCTCTGGTTAGAAAACTGCCACTGCCTGCCACCCACCCCACACCATGATATGATGTGTTCCGTGACTGCCTAAAGGATCACCTTGAATTTGTAACTTTAGAGTTTAGTCCTTCGATTCTATTAATAGTGAAAAAAAATTACGGTTCGTATTTCTATGTAATTAATATTTTTAAACTATTTTGATCTACTAGTGGGGGAAACAATTCATCATTGGGTTTTGTACACACATTGGAAAGGTGTGCTTTAGGAAGGTTAGATATCAAAATGTTATTTTGTTTTTGTCTGTGTAGTGGTATAATTTGTGATTTTAAGTTTCTTGTTTTTCCTACTTTCCTTTTTAAAAAATGAACACGTATTCATTGAACTTGTTCATTCATACAGTGAAGAATTTTTTTCACAATGAACAAATATTCAGTAGTCAGCACATAAACATTTACAAGTGAATTATTCAAATCTTAAATTAATGCTGCCCAGTTTGGAAGGCTTCTGATTTTCTCGCTTTCTGTGAATTTGCTCTGTGAGATTTTACAGTCCCTTTAGCACTTGGGCATTTCTCCCAGCAGGGGAGCTAGAGCCCCTCTGTGGCCCGGCCTGTGGCAGGATGGCTCTCCTGGAACCTAACAGGGAGTGTTTGCCAGCAGGGGCAGAGCCCCAAGGGCACCAGAAAGATGGATAGGTCTGGCTTTCCTCCAGAGCCAGCTGTTGCATGAGGCTTTATTTTTGAGCCTGAAATACCAATTCCCATAGTCTAATCAAAACATACACATAACATCACGAAGCCAAATGAAAATGGTTTCTGATGTCTGCCATCTTTAATCATGTGACACTGACAAGGCCAACCTCTGATAGCACAAAAACGTGGGTGCTGACTCTATTTTTCTAATTTCCTTTTATTATAAATAATGTCAAACAAGTAAGGAAATTTTTAGTATTGACAGTTATAGATGGTGCATCTGGACGGTTACATTTTACCCTTACCTTGACAGGTTAATGGGGGAGGAGAGAGAGGACATATGAACAGGTAGGCAAGGACCTGGCCACCAGCTTATTCTGGTTGTCCCTCATTTGTATTGATATGTCAGCAGACCTTTTGACTAGAAGTTGTTGGTGCAGAGCATTTATTTTTCTTAGATATAACATTGTACTTTTATTTTCACTTAAAAATAATAAATATGAAATTATTCTTCATTTCCAACTTCTGTCCCTACTTCCCCTCCCACATGGAAGGCCTCTTGCTGACTACCTTTCGTTCACAGCAAGGAGGGCACACCCATGCATTGTTGTCCCCCTACTTCACCTGAGCCTGCAGGACTGTCTCTTGTTCCTTCAGCACTTTGGCCTGAAGTTTCCACTCTGCTGCCTGGTTCAGCAACTGTGAGAAGAGAATGCATGGAAAGACTCAAATTATCTTTTAGATTACCATTTGTTGTAACTTGTGTGTAAACTTAATTACTTGCTAAGTAATCCTCTTAAGTAATTTTGGGGGAACTTTGCAAAGAATCTAAGAAAGCTAAGAAAACAACTAGTTTAAAAAGTTTGATTCTCAAAAAAAAAAAAAAAAAAAAGTTTGATTCTCAACTAAAAGTTAGTGATTGCAATGGAAAAAAAAAAAAGAGGAAAAAAGTCTCCAACTCAAGCATGAATCACACAAAATTCAACCTCCCACCAAATTCTGGACCCGTCTGTAGAAATTCTGGCCAACTATCATTCAGCCTCTGTTTGAACATTTCCATAATATTCCCACCTGGGGCATTGTTGTGAGCAACTGTTCCTTTATATTAGACCACTGTTCTCCACCATAGTATGCATTGGAATCTCCTCAGGGGCATGTAAGTGCAGATCCTTCTCAGAGAAAATAAGTTAGGAAGTATTAGGGTGTGATTAGAATCTGTACTTAAAGCAAATACCCAAGATGGTTTGGATATTGGTGGTCCATGGATTATACTTTGAGAAACACCAGGTTAGATATTTGACCTATTACTCCAAATCCTATATAAGGTTTACAAAAGAAGCCTCACCTCTTATCTATAAGGCAGCCCTTCAAATACAACCAAGGCCCTCATGTCAAATACGATCAGAACTGGAACTCATGGGTTAAATTGAAAAAGTTGTTTTAGGCGTAAAAATGACACATACGTATGTAAGACATGTTATTTTAACTTAAGATGTATGTTCATTTATTTATCAATTTTGATGTAGGGCTGTGATCTTTGTTTTGGGTATGGATCTTCTGATTGGAATTCGGAGGGTTTTTGCTTGTTTTTACAAAAATCATATCCGTAATATGGCATATAAGATTTATAATTTTTTTAAAACAATACTGCTAGAACCTAAAGACCTAAGATATTTGTAAAGCAGCTTGATTGGATAATTCTCTAGAGTTTTACAACTTTCTTCCAGTCTTTTATAGTTGCTCACATCTAAGTTGACAGTTTTTTTTTGCTATTGGCCTACATCTAGGCTTTCGACTCATTAAGCATAGTTTTTTTTAGAAACAACTCTTTCTTTTAACACATATTTCATCAGTTTATGTATCATTCTGTTGATTTACATAATACAAAACCAAGGATAACTGGGAAGAAAAGGTTTGGGAGCAAAGACCCGATTCTTAGTAAGCTCTATCTTACTTAACATGGGCAACCACGGGTAGATATTCCAGAGTGGCCAACTAGCCCCAGGATTCAGCATGCTGTGGCCACCTGTCAGCGTGCTTGCAGAGAACGGTGAACATCACGGATAACCTGGTTAGTCAGTCAGGTGGCTGTCAGTTAAGAAGTTTCTATTTTATTTCAAGATAGGCTGATATAAATTTCTTTTTGTTTATTCATGTTGTAAAAAATAATGTTCATTTTTGCTATCAGAACCAAAAATAATAAAATCATTATTTGTAAAAACTTGGAGGCATCTTTTTTCTTATCCAAGTTAGTCTTGACCTCTCCATTTGTAAAAGGGGGTTGTATATGTCCCTCCATGCCTCCCAGTGAGCAGTGAGGATCAATTATTATAGAAGTGCAATTGACTCCCTGTAAGAGAGGTCTGAGGCAGCCGCGGAGTGGAAGACCTGCAGCGCCCCCTCTGGCCATCTGAGCTGTGTGGCTGCAATGTACACGGCTGGCCCCTGCTTGACACACAGGGGCCCTGTTGTGATGGGTGGTTCCCGATGAAGAAGGAAGAAGGAGGCTGCCTGTTCTTGAAATGAAGAACCGCCCCTCCCCTACCCCGCAGCTCTGACTTGATATTTCATCACTTTCAAAAAGAAGTGTCAGAGCTGGAACCCAGGAAGGTAGCCGCTAGCTTTGAAGAACTGAGGGAGACTACCTTTCTTTGACTTGTACCTGCTGTTTTGCTAAATCAGGGAAGGAAAAGAGGGCAGCATGCTAGTTTCTTGCTAAGGTTGAGTCACTCTGTGTCTGCCCCCCAGTCTCTCTCACATGAATCTTTGCCTAGTTGTTCCTCTCTCATGCCTCATATATTAAATACCAAAGGTACTGATATTCTGTAGGAAGCATATCTTACCTGAGAGTAATTACATCAACAGTGGAGTATCCGTTTTCTTAGATTCTGAATAATAAATAAATGCTTTACTTCTTACTTTGAGAGCTAGGTTGTAGATGGATTTAATCAATTAATCTTTTTATTAAGAGCACATGGACATCTGATTTGAAATTATGCAACGTCCACCAGGTTATGTTCTCCAGAATTTATCCTTTTGTTGCCAAGTTTGAAAACTGAAGTTTTAAAAAAATTCCTATTCTAACAAATTGAAATGATTATAGTCTGATTTTAGGTAAATGCAGAGCTTGTGATCAATTGTTAAACGGCTACATTTGAACAACTGGTCCATTGACTGTGTCAAATCTCTCTCTCCCCAGCAACAGACACTGCTTTAACTCATGCCTCTGAAACACATCTCTGAGTGTGATGTACTATCACAGAGCTTGGGCTTTGGGGACAGATACACTGGAGACGTGACCAACACATCTCGGTCACTTAGTAGTGTGTGACCTTAAACAAGTCACATATCCTTTTTGAGCCTCAATTCTCTCACCTGTTTTGGAGTGTTTGGGGTTAATGAGATGTCAGTAAAAGCCACCACTCAGTTTCTTAAACCAAAAACTCAGGAGTCATCCTTGACTCCTTCCTTTCCTCACTGTCACCATCTTCCTGTTCAAAGCATTGCCTGTTGGTTTTACATTAAAAACATAACTTTTATCCACATCCAGCTCTCCTTCTCCACTGCCACCTCCCCAGTCCAAGCCGTCGTCAGATCTTGCCCAGATTGCTGCCTAGCTCTCTTCTTGCTTTCTTGTCCCTCTTTAGTTCACTCTCCACCTACGAGCCAAATTCAGCTTTTACAGATGCGAAGCAGATCATGTCACTTCCTTTGCTAAAACTACCCAGCACTTTCCTATTACATTTAGAATAAAATCCAAACTACATTTCAAGCTTACAGAGCTATACAATTTGGCCCCTGTTTACGTCTGCAATTTTATTTTGAAATTTTCTCCCATGGGTCAGCCTGCTCTTGCCACCCTGACCTTTTCCAATTTCTGGAGGATGCCATGCCGGTTCCAGCATTAGGATCTTTGTCTCTTCTGCAGACACTGCTGCTGGAGACCTCCTCTCTGACTCCCTCTTATCAGGCAGGGCGCAGCTCAAGCGTCCTCCTCTCAGTAGGCCTTCCTAATCACCCAGTCTAAAGTAGGTCCTCTCCTTCTGCCCTATTCGAGGTTCCTCCTTATTTCCCTAGTAGCACTTACTGTTATATGAAATTATCCTTCCTTATTTGTTTTCTTGTTTATTGCGTCTCTTCCCAGTTAGATTCATGCTGGAGTGTGGCCTTCTCCTTCTTGTTCACCACTACACCCCAGCACCTAGAAGGGTGCATAGCTCATGAAAGGTGTTTGAAAAAGGTTTGGTGAATGGATGCATGACTGTTTTAGGTAAAAAACAGTGTAGTACAGTGTTTCCTACTGGGCTAGCCAATTTCATTCTCCAGGGAAGCTTAGGCTCTTTCTCCATCAGTCTAGTGCTCTATGACTGTTGTCAAAAACAACATTCTCAGGGGTTCTCTGACCCCAAGGCAGACCAGACAAGCACACAGACTCAGGTGATAAGTACATATTCCTTTTCACGTTTGTGTTGCTCCTCTGCTTCCTTCATCATTTCTTGCGCCTGCTCGAGTTTTGCATCCACCAGCTTCTGCTGCAGTTCTCTGTGTTTAAATATTTTGTCCAGGTGCTAAGAAAAAGAAAGTGCACATTATCAAGCTTGACTTATTATTGGTGCTGAAAACAATGTAAAAAAAAAGTAATGTTGACATAAACACGTGTTCGCTGGGTTTTAAGATTTAAAAAAAAAAGAGGAGAATAAATGCATTGGCATCGCTTATGGTTTTATATGAAAGTCATAAATTGGTGGAGTCCCCTGCATTTTGCACTACACAAAAGTGGCTGCAAAAGGTGGAGGTGCCAGAGTTCAGCAGTGCTAACTCCAAAAGGTCCGAACAGTATTTTTCTAAATTTGGTAACTATTAGATATGGCGCTAGTAATTATGCTAGGCAGCACAGACAATGATGTATGTTGCAAGGGCTACAGCACTATCACTTGGTATTTTGGTGCTTTCTGTGAATATAAAACCACTTTTAATCACAACATTAATTCACTTTATCATGGTGAATTCTCCTCTACATGCTTGCCTCAAAGGGTGGTGAGGAAGCCCTGAGGTAACAGCCTGTGGCCTTGGGTCTGGGACTGAAACAGGAACCCCTGACATCAGCTCTGTTTCTCTGGTGGGCAAGACGAGGCTGAGGGTCACGGGTGAATTGACACGCAGATGTGCTGCTGCCTCCTCCATGCCTTTTGACCTCTTGACTACCTTGGTGAAGAGAAACTTCCAACTCTACCTCAGTGTGGAGAATTTCTTGGTCATTAGGAGGTCCCACTGGCAAGAGGACATGTGGAATTCCATCCTTGGGCCTTACCTAGAACCAATCCTTGGAATATACAACTAGTCTACAAGGCCATTCCCATATGAGATCTCTCTGAAGAGTATGGACATTTTCTTTTTAGCTCCTTCCCTTTTGTTTTCTCCTGGACCTCCACTTCGGAGCAGGATTGGTCTTCGTGACAAGATAAGACGGTAGCGTGGCATTATGGCTTACTGTGAGGAGTTTCTTGATTTACCTATTACCACCTTCTATTGGCTCAGGTTTTTTCTTGATAAAACCTTAGCATGTTGCCAACAGGGCTACTTTGACTATGTTATATTACATTTTAAGGCAGATATTTAAAATTTGGGTGGGATGGGAAAAGGGATATGATATATCAAAATCCTGAGGGGGCATCTGGAGTCTTAAAAACATATTGAATATTAAAGTTTAATTTTGGAATAATAAAAGATCCTTATAGTCCCCCTAATGTAAACCATTGACAACAAAACTCTTTGGCTTTTGTGTCTATGGATAAGTGATTGAATCTCGTAGCCTCTGCTTCCCATCTATAAAATGTGGATAATATGTTATCATCTGGTGCATAAGATTGTTGAGACAACTACATGACATATTGTATGTAAAGTATAATATTTAGCACATTGCCTGGCACAAGCTAAGCATAAATAATAATGCCATTATTACTATAATTACTATATAGTAATATTTTATATATTATTTGATTGTGGGGTATATACAATGCAGACTTTTAATTTAGGTGACATAGTAATTCTTAAGAGGGAGTGTGTGAGGTATTTCTTGGTTCTGTAGAGAGAGTTTCAAAAAGGCTGAGAAATACTATTTTCAAGAATAACTGTGTTCACGGCCCACCACTTTCTATTTGTTACCTTTGCAGTGATTCCAGTTTTGAAGAAATCCTGTATGACTTTCAGCCAGGTACTTTGTAATACCGTCTGTTTTTATTTTGGCTAGTAAAAGAAATCCAATCCTAAATATTAATCAGTCGAGAGGGCTGGCCATAACTTTGTCATTAACCAAGTTCCCCACCTTCACAACCCAGATCCGGTTTTATATGCAGTGCTTCTAAGTTGTTTGATGTGGTTCTCACCTCCTCTCTGAGCTCATACTGATCAATGATGCTTTTTAGTTTCTCTGCGAGCTCAGTGTTCTCCTGACAGAGCTTCATATTTCGCTCACTCTGCTGCTCGATCTGGGCCTGGATATCTGTGAGTGTGCTCTGGAAATGACTTGTGATCTCCTTCCTTTTCTCTTCTTCCTCACGTGCCCTCTGAAGGGTTTCCTCCTGTGGATAGAAAGCAAACTCTTGTTATGCTGGTTTACACGCACCAGGGTTTACAGAACTCAGGGTTTGGTCAATGAAAGGAGATTAGTGTGCAGGGTAAGAAGGATGTTTTTTCCTCAGCTCTCTAGAGGTAACATTGCTCAGCCCCAAAATAAATGCTTGAGCAAAGGTTTTAGCTGTGAATACACGGTCACTCAGAGCAGGTGCAGCAAGGGCCTTGAATTTGATAGTTGGTGATGAGTAGGCTTGTTTTAAAGACAACGGGTCCCCTGTTGAGTGAATAAACTGCAGGGATTTCTAACAGACATGCAGCCCTAAGGTTGTAGCCTGGAAAAAAAGGCCACTTGGTTTTACTGATTGATGGGACATATCATGTGTTCCTTTGGTTTGGTATAGAAAGAAGAACAATAGATCTTATGCCTCTATAAAAATGATGGCATATTAATCACATAATTGTATTGCCCAAGTTTTTTAAATATAAGTGATCACAGTATAAATTTTTTTTAGTTAAAAAAAAAAAACTTTCATCAAAAAGCTTGAAAAGGAAACTAAGATAACCATAGATGAATTACAGCAATTCAAGAATGTAAAAGGAAATCTTAGAAAATATGCTGCATATTTTTTTATCTATATAAATTTATGTATTTATTTTTGGCTGTGTTGGCTCCCTGTGGCTGCATGTGGTCTCCCTCTAGTTGCGGCGAGCGGGGGCCACTTTTCGTTGCGGTGCACGGGCTTTGTGGTGGCCTCCCTTGTTGCGGAGCACAGGCTCCAGGCACGCAGGCTTCAGTAGTGTGGCTCGCGGCCTCCAGAGCTCAATAGGCTCAGTAGTTCTGGCACACGGGCTTACTTGCTCCACGGCATGTGGCATCCTCCCAGACCAGAGCGCAACCCATGCCCCCTGCATTGTCAGGCGGACTCCTAACCACTGCGCCACCAGGGAAGTCCCCTATGCTGGATATTTTTTGAAGGAGCAATCATCCATTGTGTCTCATAGGGTAATGGAAATGTTCAGTGTAAATTTTGAATTTGAAAGCAATATTATGTTTCAAATCTTCTTTAACTCTAAAATGAAATATCTAATATTCTCCTCTTCTACTTTGTTAACATTTAAGAATTGAAAATTAACTTTTATATCATTGCTGTTCTCTTTTCTCCTAAATCAGAAGTCCCCCTTCATTGCTAACTGCTGACAATGTACCCAAATTTTCCCCATATCTATATTGAGAATTATTTGTGTTGTACTTATTCCTCTCATTCTTTTAAAATAAAAGGGCTTAATCTTGCTACATCATACCGAAGATAGAGACACTGCTGACAAGTGTTACAGACATTTTAGGATTCCTTTAGTTCTGATTAATTGTTATTATGAAAGCTTGCTTCATTGTTGGCAAGTAAAATTATACTGCATTTAGTTGCCTACCATGATCAAATTATGTAACAGGATTTTTAAAAAGAAATGCCGATTGAAACAGAAGTAATTGTGCAAATCTTTATTATTACAGTAGAATAATGTGATCAAAATAAAAGTTGATGCTGAAAATACATGCTCTGGAAATATTTTAATTTATCATTACGTATCCCCTTTCTTCTACAATATTTGCATATTTTCTAACTCTAATATGACTCCTGATATCAGAATCATAATTTATTCATAGTATAAACATTTATTGAGTGGAAATTTCTTAGGGATATTGTAGAAGAAATCTACACTTCCTAATCTGAAGAAATTAACTATCGGAGATGTTATTTCCCTGAACTTTGAATGCTAACTCTTACTATATGTATTTCACTAAAAGTGATTTTGGCGTCTGTTAAGAGCAGTTGAATATACATGTGATAGTGATTGTCTCCTTATTGTTCCCGATTAGTTTAGAAGCCAACAACCTCCTAGTCGTAGAATTATACTCCATGATCTGAATGTCATTTGCATTTATAACTATTCCATCCATGAATGAATGAGTAAATGAAAGGACCACCCCATGCTACCCAGCAAGTCTGAGTTTTTCACTGGCCACTGGCTAGAGAAAGAAGGTATGGCAGTTAATATGGCAGTAAACACATGTCAAACCATCATAGCACCCAATCCTGGCCCACAGAATGGCGTCTTGCATTTTACATTACATTGTTTTTCAATGAGAGAAAAATAAATGTACTGCAGTCATAAAATTTGAGTCCACTGGTAAAGAAAATGCAATCATTTGGACAATGTCTGAGATAAAATTTTCTTTATCATGCACAAAATTCAAAGTGAAAATTAATAATGCAAAGAAAATTGAGGGACAAAATCTGAAATAACTAAGAAAACTTTTCAAGCATCACTGTGCATCTTAGAACCAGTGCTGTGCCTGGGACACAATCCATGGGTATTCAGTATATGTTTATTTAATGAATCAATAAATTATTAATTTACATATAGACATATGAATAGCTTGAACTAGAAGATTCCTATAGTCAAAAATTGATGTAATTAAAAGAAAGAAGTAGGCAATTTCACAATTATAGTAGGAGATTTTTTACACCCATCCCTCAGCAATTGATAGAGCAACAAGACAAAAATTCAGTAAAGACATAAATGATCTAGAGCTAATTGTTACTTATGGAACATTACACCTAATGTGTATGTAAAAGCACTCAGCACAAGTCCTGGCATAATAATGCTACTTAATTCCATTTCCATAACTGGAAGCCATTACTGAGGGTGTGTGGGTATAGCTACAGGATCTCCTGCCACTTGCGTCATTCTGTCTTTGAATGCTGTCCAAAGAGATCAAGCCACATCATTCCATCCACATCATTAAAGGAAATTTAACTTTTATCTCCTTACTATACAACGCTACTGAAAGCCAGGAGATTTATGTAAGCACAGAGTGCTATTACTTGATTACATATCTGAAGTTGAGGATGATGACCCCATTCCCATATAACCTGGGTTTCGATTGTCCCAGTGCAATGATTAAAGAGATGTCAGAAGCCCATCTCCTACAACTCGTAATTTGAGAGTTAGAGTTCATCACACTGGCCTCTCATTTCCCAGATATCGGAAAACAGTTTTGGGATATGAGGAGCCATTATCCTCTTCCATTTTTCTTCCTAACTCCATTGTAAAAACTTAGCGATGATCTTAATCTCTCTGTTTCTTAAAGTATCTTCTTTTAAACACGTGTAATAATAACTATCTCACAAGAATATTGCTATCTAATTAATTCTTGTTTGTCAAAAGCTTTAGGATCTTCAGCTGGAAAGGGGATTGTGGATGCATGCAGTATTATCTTGGAGAGCCCTGCATCTTGCTTCACTGGATGGAGCTAGTGTCTGTGTGTAATCAAATTAACCACACTGCTAGAGGCTTACGCTGTAATTAATGAAACCCATGCAGACTGACTGAAGTGATCAGTCTATTATTTTTAGATTGAATAATTAAGCTTGAAGAGCTTCACTGTTTTTTCGAGTAGCTTCTTTTTTCAGGTGACTATTGACATTTTAGCTCTGAATCTTGCCTTATTCTGTCAGTTAGCTTTGTGTCAATTTATTTCATGTCATGCAGATTTCATTATTGTACAAAAAATGTTGAATTTTTATAAATTTGTATTTTAAAGAGTAGAACTAAGGCCTACCTTAAAAAACAAAACAAAACAAACTCAACATAAGGAAGAGGAATGGCACACATTTTACTAAAGGTCTGCTCCACATCAGGTACTATGTGAGCACCTTACATGTGTGGCCTCATTTAATTTTTCCCTGACCACGCAGCAAAGTTGGTATAATCTTCATTTTATGGATGAGGTAACAGGCTTGGGAGGTAAAATAATTTATTGCAAGTTACAGGTGAGCAAGTGGCAGGGCTAGTATTTGAACCCATTTCTCTCTGATTCTAAAACTCACACCCTTACCGTAAGTAGCAGAAGCTTGTGCCTACAGAGCATGCAAGAAGGTGTGTTATGTGGGGCCTCGGTGACACATACCTTTAGTGTCTTGTTGTGTCTCTGCAGCTCCCGGCACAGACCCTCCAGTTTGCTTCGTGCAAGGATAGCTTTGCTGTGTTCACCTTGTAACTGGTCCTTTTCTTTTTGGATCTGTGCCTGTTTCTTCTGTAGGAGTTTTAACTTCCTTTGCTCAGAGCGATGCTCATCCAGCTGGATGTGGGGATGCAAATGTGAAAGAAAACGGCAGGGATCTCTGTTGAGTTGATAGAAAAGGACCCAAAGAGGAAACGCCTAAAGACGGCTGTATGGTTGTTTGGAAAATGTTTTGCTATTATCACTGTCCCTCTGGAATCAAAAGAACTTCATAAATGTTAAGTTGGCAGTACTTGTAGATATGGTTTTAAGAGCATAACATTTATGGGTTTTGTTCCTTCATCATTCTTATTATTGATCTCTTTTGCTTTGATCTTCTTGGTGGTCTAGAAACAGTTTTATCTTTCTTGAGTCTAATGAAGTCAGTCAGTATAGAAGCATGTCTCAGAATTCATGATAATGCCTTGCGTTAGGAGGATAGTCAGTGGTGTGTCTGCTTGGTTTACATTTAGTTTTCACAATTCTTTCTCAAGACAAGCTTTAGTAACTATTTTTAAAAGGAAAGTGAAAAGCAGCTTCCTAGCAGACAGAAGATGAAGTCTGTGGTCATGAGAAAGGGGGAGCGGAGAATGTACCCCTCGACTACTTAAGGATTGATGATCTGTCACCAAAGTTTCAGAAATAGCCACTGCACAACCCAGCAGCACACATGGCAGGTGTCCTTAACAAGCCTTGCTCCCTGCCCATCTCCCTCACCCTCTGTACTTATGGTGAATAAACCATGACACTTGTATCTGCTGAGCACAGGTGGGGCCTCTTCTCTCACTTCTCCAGCAGCCACAGCTAAAGTATCGAAATCAAGGGCGGCATGGAGAATGAAACCAGTGAACCCCTGGGCTTTCCATCTCGGGATGCTAAAGTTCTGAGGTAGGGCTGCCAGGTAAGATGTAGGACACCCAGTTAAATCTGAATTTCAAATAAATAGTGAGTAAGTTTTTAGTAAAAGTATATCCAAAGTATTGCATGGAAGGTACTTTTACTTAAAAAAAAAATGTTGTTGGTTTACCTGAAATGCAAAGTTAACTGGGCGTTCTGTATTTTTGTCTGGTAAATTTGGCAACACATTTTTATGGAAATCTTGTTGGAATGGGGGGAGTTGGGGGTTCAGCCTCCAGAGACTAGCGTAGTAGGAGTGTGGATCCCAGATTGATGATCAGTGTGGCCACGAACAAGCTGGAGCCTTTTTCCAGACCCATTTCCTCTGCTGCACTTAGTTCCCTTAGAACCTGAATGGTGCATAGGCCAGGAGGGTACTCATCCTAATAATGACCTTCTTGGCTAATGAAGAGGAAAAGGCCTGGGAGCCTCTGGGTGCTTCTGGACCCCAGATGCTCCTGGTACCTCGCAGAGCCAGATGCAAATGGATACACACACAGCGTGAGCCCTGGTACATGTCTCACTTACCCTGTCTTGAAAAAGCATTTGTTCTTTCTGAACTAGATGAACAGGACTGTCACACTTTCTTCAGTTTACATCTTATTTTAATCCTTTCCTCCCTCCCTCCCATCAGCCTGAAATGTCCATGATAAACCCTTGCCAGATTAAGCTGGGGCTATTCATACATGATGTTCTATCTTCATACTTCAGGACATTTTTTACTTATTAGTGATAATTAGCATCAGGAAAAACTAAGTCCGTATTACTATAAATATCGATTGAAATTGGTATCCTTCTTGAGGTTCAGTTGGAAAACCAATTATATTTTATTATATATTTCTCATGCTAACCTCATGTTGCACCATAGTTATTAGACAGGGGTGAAACTTCTCATACTTGTGTTCATACTTTACATGACCTATTGTCCTTTCTTGACATTTATATGTTGTTATTATTGTTATTGCCATTTTGGTTCAGACTTTACCTTTGGAAGATTAAACCATTTGTCAGGGTTTCTCAACCTTAGCACTGTTGACATTTGGGGACAGATCATCCTTTGCTGTGGAGGCTGTCCCCTGCATTGTAGGCTGTTTAGCCGCATCCCCGGCCCCTACCCACCGGATGCCAGTGGCACCCCGAACTGTGACATCCAGAGTATCTCCAGAGACATTGCCTACTGGCCCACGGTTGGCAAAACTTCCCCTGTTTGGCGGAACACTGCCCTATGTGTGGATTTATCTGAGCATCAGGAGGAGGATACCTTGCATGTGTTTCATGAGTTGGAAGAGAGGATTTGTGCTATACCTCACTGGCCATTTAAATGTTCCAGTTTTAAGGCAGGATCATACACATCTGAAATATAGCTAGGTCTGTCTTGCTTTGCTCTAAATAGAACCCCTTAACTTGCTGACGATTTTTTTTTAGAGTGTGGCTAATTTTGTTCCATACTTCAGATTTATGTGAATGCATATGGGGTTTCTTAATGAATGAAAGCAAACGTATTGCAGCTGGGTCAACTTCAGTCAAATGCTGGCCTTGTGATTTAATAATACCCTTAGACATGTGTCTTCTGTACAATTCTAACAGGCATATAAGATTTTTATCTGGAATTTCTCTTGTTCTCTCTTTTTTTTACTATTAAGTTAAAAAAGTAAAATTAATGCCAAGTAGTAACGTTGTAACTACTTTTAAATGGAGGAAATTTGCAAAAAATATTTCTTCCAGGTCATTTCTTAATTTAGTCATGAGGTGTCCTTATTTATTAATGAACTTATCCTTATTTATTAGTAAATACACTAGTTGATGATATTACAGGATTTAGAATCTGTAAGGATGAGTGAGCTAGGGTGACAGTTTGATTCACAGCCTTGAATTTAATGATTTATTCTATGTTAACACTTGTATTTCAGACACTCTCTGTATTAATATCTGAATCAGTGAGCAGGGAAAATAGCTTTTAAGTGTCCAAGTAAAAGATTGAAATTCTTCATAATTTTTCCTTTCTGAAAAGGATATGTGATGGTGTTTGGGGGTCAATTTTCTCCTATTCATTTTTTCTAGAATGATATTTTGAGTTTAACAGTTTATTATAGGGTACGATACAAATGCCAAAGTATAGTAAGACTTGAATTGAGTAGAATTTCTGGAAAAATAACCTCTGTGGGGTTGACTTCTTGGCTAGGAGAGTGAGTGGGCTTGGGGAATTCCTGGAGACCAGGGTGAACAGCCCTGGCTCATGAAGAAAATCTTGGAAAGACTGGGTAAGTGGTTTTTTCCCGATAATCTGCTGTGGGGCTACAGCACCATAAAGAGTAGTAGTCTAGAAAGATGCCTGGTTCATCCAAGTATGGAACATGGCACTAGGAACTAAATATGAATGGCCTTGGTATGAGTGAGTAAATTGAAGGGCAAAGGGAAATCAATGTAGTAATTATTGAAAAGAGCAAGGACGGACAGGTGAGGATGGGGCCAGATTTTGGGGAAAAATATTAAATTTGACACCTACCATTTTATGGCACTGAAATTGCTCATGAGTGGTTAACAGCCAATGTTAAACAAGTTGCAATAAAATTGATACACTAATACTTGGTTTATAAATTTCTGCCATTCTTTTGGAAAACAATATGGCCATTAAACAAAGCATTTATACTGCTTGATTTAGTAATCCCAATTCTGAAACTTTTTCCTGGGATCATAAAAGAGAACGAACAGATCTCATGCATGATGATGTTCACTGCATGAATGTTTGGTAAAACAAACACTGGAAGGAGTCTAAATGTCCCCAAATTAGAGAACCAGTAGATAAAGTCAATTAATGGAAAATTACATAGCTTTGACAAAATATAATTATGAAGACTACAAAGTACATGGGAAAATGTCTGTCATATGAGCCAAAAAAACAGATACTAAATTATATGCACCTTATGATGGTAGTTATACAAAAGGTATCTCTGAATGTATGGCAGAACTGGAAAGGAAGACATATAAATCAACGATTGTGTTTTAGATTGTAGGATTAGAGATATTTTTACTTGTATATTCAGCATTTTCCTTATATTATTGTGATGTGGTTTATGTGATTAAAAAATAAAAGTATTGTTGGTAGAGTTAAGCAATCACTAGTCATTCAGGGTTTCAGAATTTCTCTGGGTCTGTTGCATGACAATTCAGCGTAACAGGACGCATCGAGGTACAAGGAAGAAAGGAAAGAATAAATAGGGATCACAGTGCTAAAATTAGAGTAAAAAAAGAAGGAAAACAAGTCACTCACTAAACTCTACTCCATCAATAGGGATAAGATGCAGCCAGAGACCTGAGGGGTTTGTGGGTCTCAGTTTTGGAGACCTTCTTTAAAAAAAAAAAAAGGAAAAAACTTAAAAAAGAGAATTATGTTCAGGGCCTCAGAGGGGCCCATACAAGTGAGAGGCACTGACTCTTTAAGCTTCTTTGCTGTAAGGTAAATCTGCCTTCAGGGGCAGTTCAATCTACTGCCTGGAGGAATTGTTTTGTTGTGTGTAGGGGCTTAAGTTTCATTTTCCTGTCACTGCTTCTCCAAAAGAAATAAGAAAGTGGAAAAGAAATGCGGGAAAGAAGCAGAAATGAGAGAGAGGTACATTGCCCAGCCTCACCTGAGAGGACACCACATCTCCTCAGTGGGTCTCGTACACCTCAGGGGTGGTGCACGGAGCTCAGGTGCCACTCCTTTAGCCAGTTTTTGTGAGGGTTCACTGAAACTAGGGGGGCTGGCTTCACTAAACCCTCCTCTTTCTTCCAACTGGCCTATTATAAGAGTACTGGCGAGGAGACCATCCACTTCACAGATTCTCTGAAGTCTGGGAGTGGCTTCCCTTCCTGCCAGTGGTCCTACCTTATAGAGAGGGAGACTGCATGGGAGGACCTATAACTGGAAACAAAACAATCCATGTCAAATGCTTTGCCATCGTGGGGGACAAGGAGAAGAATGTAGATCAAAGAGAATGAGTGAATGAATCAATCAATAAAGTCATCAAGAATAAATGAGAATGTGTCACAAACTGAGGGGTGGGATTAACCCTCTGCCTTCTTGAGGGGACCACCCCCTCAAAAAATCTGTGTACAAGAACCGGATGAAAGTTTGCCTTTATTCTAGTGTATTTCTGTTTTATTGCAAAGGCAAAAAGAACTTTTAAATATTCACAATTTTTAATTATGATTCTTCCATCTCCCAAATTATGCACATAATTGAAGGTGGAGTAGACTCCAACTGTATCCTCTTTCTTCCTTTTGCTGTTATTCCTCAGTTTTCCTGTTTCTTTTTATTTCTTTCTTTCTTTTTTAAAAATTCTGCCTTTATGAATTCTGGCTTTGATTTGTCTGAGGTAACCAGCTATAATGATATACCTGAAAAACTAACAGCATCCTTTTCTCAGCTCTAACCAGAGCTTGAATCTTTCTGACAAAAAGGGCTAATCAAAGAACTTACCAATTCAGCATACTTCTTGAATAAAAAATCAAGCTTTTCCTCAGGAGTTTGCAACTTGTTCAGATTTTGCATTAGCAGATTGGCTTCTTTGCCTTAAAAGAAAACAAAGACCATAAAGACATTTTAAAAAATAAGTGTTGAACTTGATGTCAAATGATAAGAGTTAGAATCTCAGGTTGTCTGCTTGTTAGCTGCTATCCAACCTTGGCCAAGCCACTTCACTTGTCTGAGCCGCAGATGTAATTTTGTTTTTTTTCCCCTGTATGAAGGAATGATACCTATTTTGCAGAATAAGTGATTAGATGAGAAGTTGGTAAAAATGTGTGGTACAGTGTCAGGCTCATGGTAGATTCTCAATAAATGTCTGCTATAAGGGTAGTCCCCAAATTTTCATCCCCAGAATCCATTCTTGTTACTTCCCCCCATGTTCTAAATATTCCAAGGGATTTTGAACATTCTGAAAATATTCAAAAGAATAAAAAAGACTGACTTTATGAAAGAATAAATCATCCACTTCCCCATGTTAATTATCTAAGAAAAGAAGCAAACCAGCCTATCTAAATATCTGACTACTGTGAAACAGCCAGCATTAATACATGGAGCTGTTAAAATTCCAGCCCAAAGCAGAGAAACATGACAGTTTAGGCTGCCCCTTTTTTTGGTTTTGTTCCTTTAGTACCTCTTTGCTCTTTTGTTGGTGGGGGGGGGAACCAATTCTCTTGTTTCTGTGCATGAGCCTACTCCATGACGTTTGGGTGGAATGACTCTGATTGTATTTCCTAACAAGTGGGGAATAAAGTCAAAATATAGAGAAAATGGACCCAAGACAGGGCCTTTTTCATAGGCCTTTTTGTGTCTCTCTGGCTGCAGATTTAGCCTCCCTGGGTCTTCCCTTCTCTCACCCAGGCCTTAATCTCTGTTGGCAGTTTCATTTTGTTTCCAGCTGGAGTTTATGCTACATTTAAAAACTCATCTGTTCCTGACTATTTGACAGTGAGCCTCAGATTCTTTCTTTGCTTTCCCCATTGTTCTTCCTTTTGTCCTCTTCAGCTCACACTGCCTGGTTAGCCTTTCTGTGATGCCTGGAAATCTTGTCTTTCAGTGCCCACTGGGCTGAGCATTGTAGGCAGGAGCCAGACCCTGAGGCCTACGTGTATGTACCACTGAATGTATCTTTGCAAACAGCAGGGCCAAGGTGGAGCAGCTTCCCCATCCTCACCCACCTGTGACGGCCACCCTTTCTAATCAGGGTTGGGAGGTCAGACCATACAGTGGAGCCCAAGTTTCCTGATATAAATCTGCTTAAGAATATTAACAACTTTGACAACCTCTCCCCCAAGAACAGCCATGTCTCCTTTGCTGGAATTTTTGCTTTCATCCTGGAGAGGCAGATATATCATGGAATTAGGATTGCCAGATGAAATACAGGACATGGGACACACTCGTAGTAAAAAATAATGGTTTGTTTATCTGAAATTCAAAGTTCCCTGGGCAGCTTGTATTTTCATTTGCTAAAACTGATAACTCTAACGGCATCAAAGAATTTTAGGTCTAGAAGGAACTTCAAAGAGCACCCAGACAACTGGTTAATTTTATAGATTAAGAATCGAAAGCCCAGAGAAGTCCAAAGTTACATAATCAGTCCTGGCAGAGCCAAGGCTTGAATCCAAGGTTTGTCTACTTGCTCTAAATCACTCCACTCCCATGTGGAATTTTGATGCCAGGGAAACCTAGAGAAATTAAAGGAAACTTTTTTGAAGAAAGTGACCTCATTCCTAACAGCTGGTTTCATCTATATTTGCCCAGTGAATCAGCTCAGATTAGAGACACAGTCTGAGACAGGGGAGAAGGTGGGGGTGAGTGGTGCCCCACCAGCAATCCAATATGGCCTGTGGCATAACGCTGCCTTTAAACTGGTAAGCTCTGCGCTCCGCCGCCACCAGGCGTGGCCTTGAGTGATTTCTGTAGCAGCAGGGACAGACTTGTGTTGGTCAGGCCATCCCCTCACCCTTGTCTTCAGTTTGTGCTCACATGCTGACTGCTGTCCTGCGTTGGAGGATCATCCATTAAAGGCAAGAGCCTGCACTGTTGGCCAGATTCGGCCCAGGACCCCACACAGTGTTTGGCCCACGGCAAGTGTTTAGTTACTCTTGGTAATAATAGAACAAAGCCAACCTGTGCACTAATATCATGTAAGTCAAGTAAACGCTGTCCAGAAGACAACTCTGTGATCAGCTAGAGGAAAGGCAGGTCTTCCCCTCCCCTGTGACATTTAATGTATGCTTAGCATACCTCTCAGTGTGAGTATCAACGTAGAAAACCGTATCGTGTCTTGAGTGAGTCCAGTGGGCCTCTTTTTCTCTCCACATTCAGTATCTTCTCCCCCTTTTGTTTTCTTTAATGATGAGAACAGGTGTTGTTTGTTTTTTTTTAATTGTCACACTCACTGAGGTGTCTTTCTGCTCTCATATTCTCTTATTTTGTATAGAAGTTTAACATTCAGATGCATCAGTCTGCCCTTCAAAAATGATTTCAACAAAAAAATCCAAGAAACTGGAGACAAGCATGTATGGAATACGTAACTTTGTAACGTCAGAGAGCTTAATTTGTAAACTTCCATTGGTTTCACTGGACTAGAGTGCTGTGTGGGATTATGTTGAGGAGGGGGATAGACAGAGACCCACTCATCTTCTAAGAAAGGCTATAATTTACAATTTTAGGAAATGGGGTCATTTGGTGACAGTGTCTGACACAAGAGGAAAAATCGGCTTTATGTGTTTAAGGTGCTAGCAATTTCTTAGCTATAACTGTAAAGAAAACTTTCTTAAAAAGAAAACAACTTTGAGCCTAATAATGAGATTATTCCAGGGAAAACAAAATAAAGCAAAACCTTACAATAAAAAAGAATAATATCAGAAAAAGCAGTAAGAAATAAATACATCCATTCCCAACTTGGGTCAGAAGAAAGTACTCATCATTTTTCCCAAGACAAATTTTTCTTTTCTCTTACTTCACTTACTCCTCCAAACCCTCCTTTCCTTTCAGGATCTGGCCTAAGTTTGAGCTTCTCTATGAATCTACTCATAGACCCTTCAGTCTCTGTGGATTCCTCTCTCTCCTAAATTCTTCTGGTTTTCTACCATTTCTTCCAGAAAATTTAGTATTTATATCAAAGCAACAGTTTATTTCCTTCTCAGAGTGAAACTAGAAAAAAAATCAAGCTAAAATCTTATAAAATAGACTACCTGGGAAGGTGACCATTCTAAGGCAGAGTAAGTCAATGGCCAAAAAGATTTTAGAAAATCAATGTCCTAGTCAAGATGCTACTCAGAAGGTAGAACTGAAACTCACCTGTCACTGGAAAGATGAAACCAATTAACTGAACTGTAGCTCAATTAAATGCTCCTCAACCAACGTATCAATTATTTTTATATATCTTTGGCCCTGTAATATTAGTGACTTCAGGTCTGCATCTTGCTTTCTTTATGACTAATCTCACAACCACATCAATTAGTTGAATAATTTTTTTTTTGGCAGACTTTAAAACTCTCTAGGCTTTAATTTCCCTCTCAGTAAATCAGTGAGTTGATTAGATAGATTCTGAGCTCAGAATGGACCTGTGGATCAGCTTTGTTTTTCTCGTGGGTTTATGCTTCAAACCTATGAATTCCTACTCAATCAGTTATCAATCTAAATATCAGAAGGGATATTACATTTTATCATTGTTTTGTGCTTCTTACTACGTGGGACTTGTGCAGCCCACGTAACGCTGACAGAGAAGAGATTAATAAGACACTTGTGAGCTGGAAGATGGGGTGGGGGAAGGAAGGGGGACACTTAGATGTTAAGAGGACATGTCATGGTGCTGTCTCATGTGGAATCTGTTTTTCGTTTTGGTCAATGCCAAGGAGAAAGTGACTCCACCAACTAAAGAGATTTCAAAGTGTTCCCCCAGCTGCTCCAGTGTATAATATGTTAACTGTGGGAGGATATGCAGCCTGTAAAGGAAAAACAAGTCTTGAGTGCTTGGGTTGTAGAGACATTTCCCAAATATTCAGAGGTGTTCTGTGAAAGATGGGTGTTTTTGGTCCAATAAATTTAGGAAATGTTGTAAACTGTGCCCATCACTATTGGAGATTTTTCACTATTGTATATATTAGAGGTCAGAGAATTCTGGCAGTTAGGAGACAAGCTTGGTCTGAAATCTCAAATATCCCAAAGTATATACTTTGGAAAATTTGGGGTTATTGAGTCAGAACATTTCAGTATCTCAAATGTATCAATAAAGCAAATGTTATCTGATAAACATACAATAATTAAAGACTCATCTTTGATCAAATATGTAAGCAAAGACTAAAGATATATCTTCAGGTATGGATTGAATGACATACTAATATTCTATAAAAGCTTCAGATAGTTTCTAAAAGAAGACCACAGCTGGCACTTTATATTTTCTCCACATGGGTGGAGGAAGAACTTTCTGAAGCATCAGAACCATTGCTTCCGCAATCTGTTTGTGTCAAAATTACCCAGGGTGCCTTGGCCCCAGTCCAGACCTACCAATTCTGAATCTCTCTGCTCAGCCACAGCATTTTTGACAAATTCTGCATTTGATTCCAATGCACAGTAAGTTTGAAATCATTGGTCTAGACCATAGTGTAGTATCATTTAATTGAAAAATAGCCAAGAAACCTGTTAAAACCACTTGCAGATAATTGAAATGATTTAAAAATATTTAAATTAGCTTAAAAATATTGTTTTGGGCTTCCCTGGTGGCGCAGTGGTTGAGAATCTGCCTGCCAATGCAGGGGACATGGGTTCGGGCCCTGGTCTGGGAGGATCCCACATGCCACGGAGCAACTGGGCCCGTGAGCCACAACTACTTAGCCTGCGTGTCTGGAGCCTGTGCTCCGCAACAAGAGAGGCTGCGATGGTGAGAGGCCCGCGCACCGCGATGAAGAGTGGCCCCCGCTCGCCGCAACTAGAGAAAGCCCTTGCACAGAAACGAAGACCCAACACAGCCAAAAATAATTAATTAATTAAAAAAAATTGTTTTAACCCATAATATAGCTGAAATAGTACAATGTTTAGAAGAATATACTGATAGTGTTCAGAGGAACAGCATGAAAGTGTCAGCAGCTTATACACATGTAATTAGAGTGGACCCACCTGGGCACTCTGATCACAAACATTGGTTCTGATAAACATTCAGTTGAACTTTGGTAACTTATTGAAAGTGGCAGAATTAGTTGTGAAATTTTTTCTTTCTTTAAGAATTTTTTTGATTATTTGGTAAGTATGCGGTTAATACAGACTTTGAAATAACTTATGGAAGACAGAATAGAAACCAAAATTGGTCATGTTTAACTTCACCCCTGCTTTCTTCATACCTATCCCCCCATTATAACACATAGGAATTCCTATGTAGAAGTAGTTTCAAAGTGATAAAGCCAAAGAACTTTCCTGGTTAGGAATACTTAAAATCATTCACCTCTGTGATGTGATTTTGTTTTATCTTACGGAAAGTTTAACAATGACTAATGTAAAAGGTTATTTCTGAGATGCCTTGGATAGGGAAGAAAAAATAGCTCTGTAACACAGAGCAACTTTATTCTGTTTCCCAGAGTTCCAAAACACTAAAGTGATTCTAATCTTGCACTTTAGAACTTGGTGTTATCTGGGTTCATCTTTATGTTAAGTAGGTAAAGTAGCTGTCTGAATGTGTCCTTTAGCCCTTCTTGAAAGCATTGCCAGCAGTGGTTTCACGCGCCAAAGTGAGGTCCTATGACAGCATAGACATACTTTGGGGTTTACACGTAACTTGTCCACTGGAGTCTGACTCCAGTGCCCATGATCTTTTACTCTCCCGCACTGTCTTCCAGAAACGAGTAAGATGGGACCACTGTCTCAATAGATTCTCCCTCCAGCTTGGGAGGCAGGTATATAAACAAATGATTGCTGCCGAAAATTTCATGGAGAAAGACGGAAGGTGATGCTAACTCTACCTGGGCATGTCAGGGAATGTATCACATAGGAGGTGGTGATTGCAGTGAGTGGTTCAGTGAAATTCACCAAGACAAGCAGAGGGACGCTCCTATGTGCAGTAACATGCTCTCACTTATAGCTAAAAAATTAACTCTCTCATCCTTCTTTCACAGCCATTTTTGGTGTTACCAATCCTCAGTGCTCTCCTAACAATTTTCCTGTGCCTGTTGTAGCACTTATCCTATATAACAATTAGTGTACATGTTTATTTTTCTCTCCAGACCTAGAGCTCCTTAACCAAAGACTTTTTTATCTTTGTGTACCTCATAAAGACTAGGCATTAGTAAATATTTGCTGAACCAGTGAACTAATGAGAGTAAAATTGTTTTCTGAGATTTTCAACATTCTATAATTAATACATTTCTGAAGAGCTTTGTTAAATTAAAAAATATTTTATATATGTAGTAATGGAACACACTACTAAGGGGCTGAGGATATGTACAGTAAGGTACTGGTGATCCTGAAGGAAGCTATTGTGGTAAAATCCAGATATGAGATGTGGCTCTTAGCAAGATTGGAGGAAGTGCCCCTTTTTAGGAATAATTCAAAGAAAAGTCATACATTAGAATGTAACTACTTGCCTAATCCTTTTAGAATTTTCTTCTCCAGTTTTTGCTCTTTATTGCTGACAGGCTCTTTGGACGTGGGCGGCTCTCCAGAGGCCGGAGGTTCTCTCTCCGTCTCTTCAGCGGCCTCCTCGCAGGCCCTGTCCTCATTGTCAGGTGGTGCTGTGTTCTCAGGCTGCTCCTTGGCCGCGGTGGGACCCTCTTTCCCTGCCGTGCTGACAGCAGACCCGTACGTGTTAATGATGTCTTCCAGTTGTCGGTTCAGTTCTTCAGAGATATCATGGGCTCCCCGTTCAGGCTGCACATCTGCCTCCTCCTCAGGTGCTAGGAGTGGGGTTGAGGAATCCTGATCATCTTGCTTCTCAAGGCCATTTTGACTGGGCAATACTGAACTGTCCCCCACAGGTGTTGACTGTGGCTCCCCCGACAGCTGTACAGACTGATTGGTCTCCATACTGGGAGTGGTATCTGGTGGTAAGCACAGCCAGCGTTGATGTGGTTAACCCAGTTACAGGTAAATGGTAAGGCTATTCCCACATGGGCACCTACTAATTACAGTTTCTAACATAGAATGAATGTACTTCCACAAACCGTCAATATTGCAATTAGTTGAGTAGGGACAGTGAGAAGCATCTTTCCAAATCGAGTCATACCATTAGCATATTTTTGGTTTTGGTCTTTAAATTCCGATAGTATCTCCTATTACTGATGTTAACAGAGTAATTCAAGATACCGTTTTTCATGGTCATATTTGTCATTTTGCTTAGAATAGCCAGTTTGTGTTACCATTCTCTTATATAATTCTATGTAGATTTACAGTCGTTATAAATACATAGATATATACATTTAACGTTTAAATTTAAATTGGTGCTTTTTCCCCAAAGTTAAAACATTGAATGCAAGAGCCATTGACCTTACTAAAATCATTCATAATGATAACATTCTAAACTCTATTTTAATCCATATTGATTAGTATGAGTCCATTAATATAAATGAATTATTATATTGGATACAGGAGATACTTGCTTGTCTGGTATTTTCCTTTTCCCAAATGAGCAACATGTAATTATCAATCAGAAAAACACTTTTTATTTTCTGAGGTTCAAACCAGCCTCATTTTTGGAATAAGAGAGAATGAGGAAAGGTATAAATTAACTAATGAACTTGTATGGAAACATGGTGATGCTCATAATAACAATTCCTTGAGTTTCTATACCTTTTTGTTCTGATATAAAAACTGACTTTCTTTTAGAAAAAAAACAGATTGCAACTTTCTTGTCTCAGTCAAGGAGCTCTAGGATAACAATACTTTTTAAGAAGTAGAAATGTCTAAAAAGCAGGGAGGGAATGAATTAGGGGAATAATCCAGGTATAATATGGGCTCTTTGGAAATAGGGGGTGAGGAATGGGCTGAGGGTTTCTGGCTATCACCATTTCTAGTGTTGCAGTACCTTTGGCTTAGACCTTTAAGTTATGGTGCGCTTTATTTGTAAATAATATTTAATGGTGATGCTGCTAATTAGCAGCATACAATTACGACAGGGTCCTAATAACACACAGGTTTTGCTGTTGTGGTGGCATGAAAGCGAAAACTAAAACATACTGCTCCATGTACTATGCAGCTTCCTCCTCTGGTTCTTAGGGCAGGCAATGTCAAATGCTCGAATGCAAACAAGAACAGAAAATTCAATGTACAGACATTGCCACCTACCTGTGGCCCTCACCAAATACTCATTAACTTTGAAGGAAGTACTTTTTTCTCTCATTTATTTTAATTCACCATCTTTATTATCAAACGATGCAGTAAACAGCTTCATTGTCTTCATCACTGGAATTCTTTATCCTGACCCCTGCTTGTTGGGCACACACATCTATATATAACTTGTGCTTCCCCTGAACTTGGAGAAAGACACATGGCACCTGCTGTCCAGCCAGAAGTTATTTTAAGCTCTTCTAAAAGGAGCCCTGGCCTTTAGCACTTCGTCTTTGGAAATCAAGGGAAGAGAATACTTTTTAAATCAAATTGAAAACAGTAAACATTTATTGGTTTAAATCCATATGTGGGTTTTAAAGTGTTAGGGAGCCTCCTGAGGATGAAATAAAATCTAAAGTAAACCAAACTTTAAAGCAATGAATTTAAAACTGATTGTCCATAGGAATTTTAGTGTGGTTAGTCTAAATGCAAGCGTTTTGTTTGTATTTGATTTATTCTTCATTCATCAGAGGCCATAATCATTGATTTTTTTTATATTAAGTCCATGGATCTCCTTTAAACTCATGCTCCACATTTACTTTAAAACAGAATAACTGAGTTGTTGTAAACCACAGGACAACTCAATTCCTAAAAGTAGCCTCAAGACAAATCCACAAGAGGAAAAAAACAGTCAAAGAACTCTGTTACTTTTAAATTCTCTTTCTGTATCAATCAGTTTTACAGCAAGAAATTATTTCTGTTTTATTTTCTATAAACTTCATTGCCCATCTTTTGCCTCCTCTGAGAGAGAATTTTTCACTTGTCCTGGCAGTCCCAACAGATTACCACACACACATCCCTTCCTGAGCAACACATTTTAATTGTAAGTAAAACAATGGAAAGTTCTTCAACAGTTCACTGGCAGTCTCAAAGTTGCAAGTTTTGAACACCACAAACCGCACCCTACATCATCTCACAGGGCTTGGGGGAGTGTTTTTCATACTTACCAGAAGGCAAGGTGCTAAGCAGAGAGAGAAAGGAGAGGCAAGAGGCAGCAAGCTAGTCAAGCAGCAGCAACAGCAGGAGACAGGCGGGGGCTGAGTTCTTACCAGGGAGAGAGAAACCAAACACACACACACGCAGCAGGAGAGCAGGGAGGGGGTGGGGAGGGGAGAGGAACATCCTGTGACACAGCAAGAGAGAAATACATTCAAGCATTAGTAGCTGTCTCCTGGGCAAATGTCTTAGAAAAGAGAAGCAGCTGGTACATCTTATCAGACTCCATTTTTTGTCCTTTAAAAAATATTTAAACTCTCAGTACATAGCCCCTTTGCTAGCGCAGTTTTTCACCATTGTTGTTCTTCGGGGCAGAGATCAGTTTTTCTTATTTCTTGGTTTATTTCCAGTGTGGTCTATGATTCATCTTCTTTTTTTACCACCTTCTTATGCTAGCTTAATTAGTGTCAAGTTTCTTATAGGAATCAAGGAAAAAGAAGAAACATGGCATAACAAAAAGGAGATGGTAGAAACACTTTAATTCTTACGTCATTGTTTGGTTTTGTCCTAAAATTTGAAATAAAAATTTAGACAGCTCTTTTGGCACTGGGTTTAGTGCCATCTTTATGTACATGCTAATTGGCGTGACCTCAGACCCCACGTCTTACTCAGGTAACTGCCTTTACTCAGGTAAGCCCTGGGGAAGCAGTTGCTTTTTCTTTAGTTGCAGGCTTTCCCACCTTCCACAGTGACTTTTCCAAGTCTTTCCCACCATCTCAAGCCTTCAACCTGTTCCTTAATCCTCCTCAGAAAAATAACCTCCTCTTCATTCACCATATAATGCCTCTTTCTCTTAACCTACGTCCATTCCCCTTTTCTTCTCTTTCTGGAGAATGTGTTCCCACACTTTTCCAAGTTGGGTTCCCCCATCAGAGTTTCTGCTCTTGGGACTGGCTGGGCATATTGATAGCCACTGTGTTAGGCAGAATCATGCCACCAGAAAGACTTCCACATCCTAATCCCAGGAACCTGTGAATATGCTATGTTACATGGTGAAACAGACTTTGCAGATGTGATCAAGTTGAGGATCTTGAGATAGACACACTATCCAGAATTACTTGGGTGGGTCCCTTGTAATCACAAGGGTCCTTGTAAATGAAAGAGGGAAGCCGGAGGGTCAGAGTCAGAAAAGAAGATTTGATGATCCAAGCAGAGGTCAGAGTGATGGAGGGACACAAGCCAAGAAATGTGAAGACCCCCGAGAAGCTGGGAAAGACAAGGAAGCACATTCTTCTTGAGATCCTCCAGAAGGAATGCAATTCTGTTGATACCTGGTTTCAGCCCAGTGAAACTCATTTTGGATTTTTGACCTCCAGAACTGTAAAAGAAGAAATTTGTGTTGTTTATAAGCCACTAGATTTGTGGTAACCTGTTGTAGTAGCAAAAGGAAACTGAAATAATCCTACTCCCCAACTTTTTTTCACCCCTTTCTCCGAGTTCAGGGAAGGCATAGGTTATAGATAGATGAGTACCCAGTAAGTGGAGGTCAGGATAAAGAAATTCCAGAGAGGAAGACAGTGAAGCTGTTTACTGCATCATTTGATAATAAAGTTGGTGAATTAAAATGGGTGAGAGAAAAAAGTACTTCCTTCGAAGTTAATAAGTACTTGGTGAGGGCCACAGTGAGTGATATTTCATATTGGATTGTAGCAAACCAGCCCGGAGAGATCTCTCAGTAAATACAAACAATAAGTCAGTGCTTCTCAAATTTAAGTAATGTACATATTCTCTTAACAGAATAACTTAATGTTGAAATTAATTTAAAGGAAGAAAGAGAACTCACCATGACTGAAACAAATTATATTATTATTTGTACCAATATATACTGATGTAAAAATAGATATAAACTTCTGATACTTAGTTATTATATGATACAATTAAAAAAATATTATTTAGAAAACCCTACAGAACCAATAAATACAATTCAAAATAACAACATTACTTTTATGTGACTGATAATATTTTGCTGAACCCAGATTGCTACTTGCAACATGAATATGGTACTGGCTACTGGTCCTTTTGAGTTCCTGGCACTCTTCTACAATAGGCTTTATGAAATGACTCAATTTCATCAACACTTGGTCCATTCAGATTACTACATAAGTTTCATTCATGTGACCTGCCATAATTTCAACTGGACTTCCTTTGATATTAATGCATCATTTATTGCTCTTTCTCATCTTCCTGCAATTATTAAAATAATTGGTGCTAACTTAACTAGATGTACACATGATAATGAAGGCACAAAATGAACGGTATACATGGTAACACCGAAATGACAGCTACCCAGATAATCCAGAATTGACTTACACAGGCATACCTTGGAGATATTGCGAGTTAAGTTTCAGACCACCAAAATAAAGCTAATATTGCAATAAATCAAGTCACATGAACTTTTTTGTTTCCCAGTGTATATAAAAGTTATGTTTACACTGTACTGTAGTCTATTAAGGATGCCATAGCATTATGTCTAAAAAAAACCAGTGTACATAGCTTAATTAAAAAATACTGTTTTGATAAAAAAATGCTAGCCATCATCTGAGCCTTCAGTGAGTTGGAATATTTTTGCTGACGGAGGGTCTTGCCTCAGTGTTGGCTGCTGATTTATCAGGATGGTGGCTGCTCAAGGCTGGGGTGGCTGGGGTAATTTCTTTTTTTTTTTTTTTGTGCGGTACGCGGGCCTCTCACCGCTGTGGCCTCTCCCGTTGCAGAGCACAGGCTCCGGATGTGCAGGCTCAGCGGCCATGGCTCACGGGCCCAGCCGCTCCGCGGCATGTGGGATCTTCCCGGACCGGGGCACGAACCCGTGTCCCCTGCATCGGCAGGCGGACTCTCAACCACTGCGCCACCAGGGAAGCCCGCTGGGGTAATTTCTTAAATAAGACAACAGTGAAGTTTGCCACACTGATTAACTCTTCCTTTCACAAATGATTTCTCTGTAGCATGCAATCCTGTTTGATAACATCTTACCCACAGTAGAGCTTTCAAAATTAGAGTCTGTCCTCTCCAACCCTGCTGCTGTTTTATGAACAAAGTTTATGTAAAATTCTAAATCGTTTACTGTCATTTCAACAGTCTTCACAGCATCTTCACCAGGAGTAGATTCCATCTCAAAAAACCACTTTCTTTGTTCATACATAAGAAGCAACTCCTTATGTTAAGGGTTTTACCGTGAGATTGCAGCAATTCAGTCACACCTTCAGACTCCACTTCTAATTCTATTTCACATCTGCAGTTACTTCCTCTACTGAAGTCTTGAACCCCTCAAAGTCATCCATGAGGGCTGGAATCAACTTCTGCCAAACTCTAGTGAATGTTGATATTCTGACCTCTTCCCATGAATCATGAATGTTCTTAAAGGTATCTAGAATGGTGAATCCTTTCCAGAAAGTTTTCAATTTACTTTACCCAGATCTATCAGAGAAATCACTATCTATGGCAGCTATAGCCTTACAAAATATATTTCTTAAATAATAAGACTTAAAAGTTGAAATAATTCCTTGATCTATGGACTGAAGAATGGGTGTTTTGTTAGCAGTCATGAAAACAACACTAATCTCATAGTACACCTCCATCAGAGCTCTTGGATGACCAGGTGCTTTGTCAATGAACAGTAATCTTTTGAAAGGAGTCTTTTTCTGGGCACTAGGTCTCAACAGTTGGCTTAAAATATTCAGTAAACTATGTTGTAAATAGATGTGCTGTCATCCGGGCTTTGTTGTTCCACTGATAGAGCACAGGCAAAGTAGATTTAGCATAATTCTTGAGGGCCGTAGGATTTTTGGAATGGTAAATGAGCATTGGTTTCAACTTCTCTTCCTAACAAGAGAGTCAGCCTGTCCTTTGAAGCTTTGAAGCCAAGCATTGACTCCTCCTCTCTAGCTGTGAAAGTCCTAGATGGCATCTTCTTCCAATATAAGACTGTTTTGTCTACACTAAAAATCTGTTTAGTGTTGCCACCTTCATTAATTATCTTAGCTAGATCTTCTGGATAACTTGCTGCAGCTTCTATATCAGGGACTTGCTGCTTCACCTTATACTTTTATATGATGGAGACAGCTTCTTTCCTTAAACCTCATGAACCAACCTCGCTAGATTCAGACTTCTCTTCTGCAGCTTCCTGACCTCTCTCAGCCTTCATAGAATTGAAGAGGGTTAATGCTCTGGATTAGGCTTTGGCTTAAGGGAATATCGTGGCTGGTTTGATCTTCTATCCAGACCACTAAAACATTTTCCCTAACAGTGAGAAGGCTGTTTTGCTTTCTTATCATTCATGTGTTCACTGGAATAGCACTTTTAATTTCCTTCAGGAATGTTTACAGGGCTTCCCCGGTGGTGCAGTGATTGGGAGTCTGCCTGCCGATGCAGGGGACACGGGTTCGTGCCCCGGTCCGGGAAGATCCCACATGCCGCGGAGCGGCTGGGTCCGTGAGCCATGGCCGCCGAGCCTGCGCGTCCGGAGCCTGTGCTCCGCAACGGGAGAGGCCACGACAGTGAGAGGCACGCGTACCGCAAAAAAAAAAAAAAAAAAATGTTTACATTCACAACTTGTGCATGAGACTTAGCTTTTAGCCTATCTTGGCTTTCAACACGGCTTCCTCACGAAGCCTAGTCATTTCTAGCTTTTGATTTAAAGTGAGACATGTATGACTCTTCCTTTTACTTAGAGGCCATTGTAGGGTTATTACTTGGCCTAATTTTAATATTGTCATGTCTCAGGGAATAGGGAGGCCTGAGGAGAAGGAGAGACAGGGAAACAGCTGGTCGGTGGACAAGCAACACTTATCCATTAAGTTCCACATCTTATATGAGTGTGGTTTGTGGTGTTCCAACAAATTACAATAATAACATCAAAGATTACTAATTACAGATTGCCATAAGAAATATGATAATGAAAATGTTTGAAATATTTGGAGAATTACCAAAATGTGATACAGAGACGTAAAGTGAGCAAATAGTATTAGAAAAAAATGGTACCAATAGACTTGCTAGATGCAGGGTTGCCTCAAACCTTCAATTTGTAAAAAATGCAATATATGTGAAGCACAGTAAAGCAAAACTCAGTAACATGAGGTATACCTGTACAT